CTGACAACGGCAAGTTGGTTGCCTACTTCCGTACACCGGCTACAGCGGCGCAGCAGTCAGCTGCGGGGGGCGCAATGCTGCATGTGTTGCAGGTACGTGTCTTCAATACCGGGCCATGCCCCATGCGTGACCCATGGGACACGGGGACTCCCGTGGCTCGTCCAAGGCTCATTCAAGATCCAACCGACAGGGTTGGTCCTTGCAAGCTGCCGCCCTGCACACCCATCCACACTACGTGACATGCGAATGCGGCCAAGCGGGCCCTGTAACGGGGCTGGCGTTACAGGGTCCCGGCACCCTGTCGTACCTGGGTACGACAGTTCCCTCACAACGATGTTAGTGCGAAACGTTGCCACGGCATGCTGCAATGCTCGTTGCCGCCGACACATTGTGCCCTCCTGCCATCCCACAGGGGGCGGCGCTGAACCCTGCTGCTCCAGGCGCAGCAGGAGCGGCTGGCAACTCGCCAGCAGCGGCAGCAGTACCCGGTACGGCACTGATGCCTGCTGGTACGGCAGCCGCACCTGCCAACACGTCAGCAGCACCTGGTACGGCGGCAGCACTTGGTACGGCAGTGCAACCCTGCACACCGGCCTTATCGTGGCTTGGCACTCCCGCACTAGTCAGCAACAACAACACTGCTGCTGCTGCTGCTGCAATTGCCCGTGCTGGCCCCTCACCGGATGCGGCTGCTCCTGCTGCTGGTGCCGGTACACCAAGCAGCACTCGACCGCCAACAGCACTTGCAGCAGCGAGCTCTCAGCAGGAGGGAGTGCAAGCGGGGGCGGCAACAGCAGCAGCGACGGCTGCGGTTCCTGCTTCTGATGCTGCTACACTGATGGAGGGCGGCACGCAGCCTGGCAGTGCTGCGGGACAGCAGCAGCACGTCAGCGATCCCGGCGCACAACCCCTCCAGCAGGAACAGCAGCCGTCACCGCCGCCGCAGGCACAACAGCCTGCTGTTGGCACGTCGTCTCCACCGGATCCCACGCTTCGTCAGCAGCGCCAGCCACCGCAGCAGCAGCTGCACGGGGGCATTCTGCGGTGCCTGCAGTGTGACCACAACGGTGGCGACATCCAGCAGGCCCCAACGGGATTGCTGCCTCATCAGCCCCACCCTGCATCGTCAAGACCGCCGTTGCTTGTTGAGGCACCAACTGCGGACCTCCTTTCAGCTGGCCTTCAGCCGCTGCTGGGCAGCAGTGGCAGCAGCGGTTCAGGGCTGCCGCTGCCGCTGCCACTTGGCCTGAAGTTCCCGCCGTTTACGAGCTCAACAGGAGCAGCCTCCAGCCCTCCCCTAGCGGCGGGAGTACATGCAACTTCTGGTAGCGGGATGCCGCACAGCACGCTGGGAAGTGGTGGAGTCTCGTTGGCGGCTGCCGCGCCCCCGCCTCGGCCCCTTCCACCGCAAGCAGCGACCGGCAGAGTCGCAGCAGCAGCAGGGCCAATTGCGGCGGCTGCAGGCATCACGGCAGCACCGACTGCGGCTGCTGCTGCATTCCTGGGTGGTGCGGCGGCGGCGGTGTCGCAGCAGGGGCCGGCGGTGCCGCCACAGCCGTTCACCCACCAGCAGCAGCAGCAGCAGCGGTTAACGCAGGATGCAGCTCAGGAGCCCGGCGGCGCAGCAGGCGCGGTAGCTGCTGCTGGTGTTGGCAGTGATCAGGTGCGGGAGGGTGCGGGAGGGAAGAGAGGGTGCGAGAGGGGGCGGGAGGGAAAGATGGGCGCGAGAGGCGTGTATCCAACCTCCAGCCAACTTGTCTACAAAGTTCCCGCAGCCTTGCTGGGACATGCAATGTCAGTCGGCGTTAAGGTCGGGCGCTGAAATTAGGCGAGGGCGACCCATGGGTCATCTGCTGTCCTAGAACTGTGCTGTGCATGCTGGCTTCCCCACAGGCGATGGCGGCGCAGGAGGATGAACATGAGGAGCCGGTTGCTGGACAGATGGAGCAGGAGGCCGATGCTGAGGCGGGCGGCGGGGATCAGCGGGAGGAGGGACAGGAGGAGGAGGGACAGGAGGAGGAGGAGGAGGAGGTGGCGGCAAAGCGGCGCCAGGAGGTGCGGAGGCGGCCCGAGCGGAGGGGTCGGCCGCCCAAGCGCTACCGCCGAGAAAACGTCATGTCCGCCGGTAGGACGGTAGGCTCGTTTGGCAAGCTTACAGTGTCAGCTGCAGCATGCGGGCCTTCTTAATAATGAAAGAAGACAGGCTGTTGCTTGCAGGAGTAGTAACATGAAGGCTACCGAACCTGGGCTGACTCAAAACGCATGCATGCATACAGGGTCCTGCTCTTGGCCTAACCCTCACGCGCCCGCCCTTCCCTGCCTATTCACCTTGCCGTTCCTCCCCCGCCCTTCCCTGCCTGTTCACCCTGCCGTTCCTCCCCCGCCCGCCCTCCTGCTGCTGACTTGCATGCATGCAGGCACGTCAGACGAGGAGGAGGAAGATGTCGAGCGGAGCTCCGACGCGAGGTGAGGCTTGCCGCGCGCTGTGCGTTTAGGACTGCTGGGCGGTGCGTGCAATGGCTCATGCGGCCCGCACGGCGGCCGAGAAGGCGAGCCGAGAGGTGGCGTATGGGTTGAAAGAGACCAGCCTCACAAGAGGTTGATCAGTCATCTGAGGCGCCTTCAGTTAGCAGCCTTTCCTGAGTAAAAGGAGCACAACTGCCGCGTGCATGATGCTCTTGATGCCACCCTCCTTCTTGAGGGCCTTGCCCCCTTTCCCTGCCTGCTGCTGCCGTTCGCCCCACCGCAGCTGGTAATGGAACGTGTCGTGGCTGAAGCGCTGTAACTTCCGTTGGGCTGGGCATATGGCGGGGGGCAACCGCTGATCGGGATTAGCAGCAGAACAAGTAGTAGACGGCCAGTTGCTTGCAGCCACAGTTGTGGCCAACAGCAGCAATTACACTGGTAGGTGCTGTTGGGCCGGTAGCAGTACGGCAGCTGTGGTGGTGGTACGTTGTTGCCGTACAATGTGTAGATGGCCGCGTCCAGACGACAGGAGCGAGCACATGGTGAGGCTTGGCTTGTGTTGCAGTGTAACGGGTCGAGCCGCCATGCATGCAGCAGGCCTTGGCTTTCGCTGTCGGTTCACCGGCTATTGTTTACATTGGCGGTTGGCGGTTAACCGTTGCTGCCTAATACGTTGTATACAGTTCCTGCATAAATTTGGCCGCCGGCTGTGGCTGGTGCAGCTGCTACGTTGCCTCATGCTTCAGCTGACGACCCATGGGTCATCTGGGTTTCCACCCATGAATGCCATTGAAGGAGTTGGTGCGGCAGGTGGTGTGGGTGCTGCCGCTGTCGGTGGTGGTGCGCCTGTCGTCCCACTGAGCCCCAAATGAACCTGTCAGGAGCGAGCCGATGAGGAGCGGAAGATAATGTATGGTGTCAGACAGGCCTGCATGCATTGGGGTTCGACATGCATTGTGTGTTGGGCTTACTTGTTGCTGACATGCTGCCTGAGCCTGAGCTTGTCGTCTTGCAGTATGTCAACACGTTCACCTACCACGGGCTACCAGTTCGCAATCGGCAAACAAGATGGTAATGTATTCCTGGACCGGACTGGGCAGAAGTACAAACATGACCTGCAGCAGGTGCTACGTGTAGCAGCTACCGGGCGGTCAAGCTGCTGTAGCCAATGGCCTCCACATGGTAATCGCATGCATGCATGGGCTCCAAAGCAACCTGGTGGCTGATGTGTCTTTGTCCAACCAGTACCAGTTCTACCTTCATCCGCCAACCACACGTGGTCCTAGCCGGCAGGCTGCTATGACCATGCACGCCAGACTTTGGACATGGGGAGTAGGCAGGGGAATGACCGCATACGGCCTTCAATTGTTGGCGACATTTGAAGGGGGTTAAGCAAGGAGCGAGCTCAGTTGCAGCTGTTTGCTGTGCGGAACGAAGATTGCATGGTTCCCGTTGGTGCGTTTTGCAAGTGACTTGTCAGGCACCCGAGGTTGCCACCCTGGCTGTGTGCTGGGTAGATGTTGGGTGCCAGGTTGACATATCTCATTCACTTTTGGTCTGGAATATAATCTGCTACGATAACACACATTGCGCGTGTACGCAAGCGTGCGTTTTCAACTTACAAGCATTGACTCAGCAGCGCCCCAACAAAGCGTGGGAGAGCGTGTGCGGTTGCTCGTTGATTCAGGGTCAATGACTGCTGGCAGGACCGTCCCGTACTGGTCTCAGCTGGACTATTGATAGCAGGAACTAAGAATGCATTCGGGTTACTGTAGGCTGGTTGGTGTAAAACGAACTGCGCTGGGCTAGGCACAGGGTGCCCCGCCGCTGACTGGGAGGACCCGACCCATACATACCCGCGCATCGGTACTTCGGTAGATCACCCTTAAGAAGCAGTTCATCGAATGCATCGAACACAACACTGAGGCCTGCTGTCCATTCCACATTCAGGAAGCAACACCCATCCTGAAGAAGTAAGCTACAACGAGCGAAGCAAGCAGTGTACGACTTGCCTCGGCAATCGTGAGAGATAGCTAGACCTCGTGCGCATGCTAAGCAACGCGCAGCTTCAACAAGTCAAAACAATTCGTCGTTATATATCCTTTGTCCTATCCTTTTCGTTATCAATCAGCCCTAGCTGCGGCAGTATTTCCTTTCTGAGGCGAGCTGCTGAAGCGCCCGGCTAGCCTTGCTAAGCACCGTCATCGCTCCCAGCGGGTAAGTTGTCACCACGCGGATAGCTGCTGGCCTTGCGTGTGCTAGCTTCAAGAAGCTGCAGCACATTTGTCTGCCGCTGTGGCCTACGGAGCGCTTTTGTTGCCAGCGTTAACAAACATTTTGCCCCCGAGTTGTGCAATCTTATGACACTACAAAACAATCTTGTGATACTACAAACCTACGTTTCAGCACCCCAAGGTTGGATGCGACAGAGGGGCTGGTGACATACATCAGACTGCTTTTGCCCTGCACGTCTGGTCACTTGCAGGCAGGCACGACGCTCTTGAAGGAGCACGTACAGATGACAACTGCTTCAGCCCGACTCGACTTCTGCTGCCGTTAAAGTAAAATGGAAAGAGGCGCTCCAAAGGTCCGGGAGCTAATCATTTTACATTCGGACATTGAGCCCGAGTTCCTCTGCGTGTTAACTGGCTGCATTGCGCGTCACCCTGTCCTTGATCCGGGCGACGGGAGAGGGCGGCCTGTGGAGAAGGCTGCCTTTGAGAGGCACCAGAAGCTATATCGGGTCACACCCCTTCAAGGTTCGTTTACCATTTTCTTCCCTAACCGGGTAAAGTTGTCACCTCTCTCTATGAAATGCATCCTACATTTTTTATTGCCTCCAACAGGCAACCAACCCATTGTGCCACAAGTTGTGCACCGGCGCAAGGAGCGTATTGAGGAATGGCTTAAAGCACACGCAACCATCAAGCCCGCGGCCAAGCTCATCAAGCAGGAGCAGCAGCCAGCAATGCTGTCACCAGCTGATGACCTGGGCTTCAGCATGACCCATGGGTCAGCTGGACTGCACAAGTCAATCGCATTGGAGTTCCAAGTCAAGCTCATCAAGAAGCACTTTATCTGCCCTCTCACATGGTGCCTAATTATTGACCCTGTGATGGCCAAGCATAACCCAAACATCTTGTTTGAGCGGGCAGCAATTGAGGAGTACATTGCAGAGGAGGGCTGCAACCCAGTCGATGGTGAGTGTATGTGTGGAGATTTGGATGACATCCAAATGTCCTGTTACATGAAAGGAGACTTCCTGAACATCAAGAATAAACGAATCGAATTCAGACGTTATATATCACAACGGCCCCGTAAGGATTGGGGAGGGGGAAACCCTTAATCCTAATTACCACCACACAACCCTAAAAGCTAGCTATACTAGTAGTACCACCCACCAGGCCAGTGGTGCATGAACCCTGCAGCTCAGCCCATACTGACACCCACCATACCTCTTCCAACATCCACAATGGCCATGCTGTGCCCATGCTGCCTCCACATTGCTGCAGGATCCCCCCTGAGCATATGCGACCTGTGGCAGGACCCTGCGGACGTCCGGATGCTGGAGGGGATTGCTCGGCGCTACAAGGTCTACCCTGCTGGCAATGCGGATCCTGGGTGCGTCGCGCCAAAGGTGGTCATTGACCTGGCTCTCAGCTCTGACGAGGAGGGTGAGGAGATGCCACCGCAAGGCCAGCAGCCTGGGTCTGCTGCTGCTGCTGCTGCTGCAGAGATGTGCCATGCCTCACCACAGCAGCAGATGCAGCAAGTGTTTCAAACACAGCCAGGGCAGCCGGAGCAGCCGCAACAAAGCCCACAGCAGGCTGCAGCGGTGGCTCATCAGGAGCCAGGCCCCGCAGTAGCAGGATCCAGGCCCGCATCCGAGCAACTGCCCTATCAGCAGCAACAGTGCCAACCTGGCCAAGATGGCAGCACTGCTGGTGGTGCCGCAGCTGAAGGCAATGCCGGCCCCAGAAGTGCTGGTGGTGGCTGCTGCAGTGGCCCCACCGCCACCCCACTGGTGGTATCACCTCCAGCATCCAATCCGACTGCAGCAGCAGCGGTGGCAGTGGGGTTGAAGCAGGGGCAGGCAGCCGAGGCAGTGCTACTAGCCCGCCAACCGGGGCAGCAGCAGGGACTGCGAGATGAAGCTGAGCCTGGCAGCACAGCAGGCACTGTAACTGCTGCTGCAGCCACCACTGGTCAGCAACCTAGACAGCGTCAGCGCTCGAGGGTGAGCATTATAGATTGAGGGATTGTGTGGTCCCCTATCTGCACCTACATCTTAAACGCTGGCATGGTGGATCGCATGTTTGCATGTGTTCTGCTTCACTCACACTTTAAGAGGCCCCCAATGCTGGCCAGTTGAGCTTCATGACATGCATGGCTGTATGTGAGGCCCCTTCTCACGCGCCCCCACCGCTTTCCCGCTCTGCTGTAAATGCCGTTAAGCCACTTTTCTGATCTTTGCAACGATCACCCCCAGGACTACAGGCAACGGCTGCTTCATGCACGGGGCTACCTGGGCATCATCCAGGAGCACGTCGATGAATGGTTCGGGCCAACCTTCGTGAAGGGTACTGTGGTGGTGAAGGTGAAGGCAGCAGCGGGGCCCATAGGAAACCGACACTGTAGAGAAGGTTATTAGCTTACTACCCCCTGCATGTCGCATTTAACGTTACCACAGTAGGCAGTACGGCCGGCAAATGCATGTAGGGCCCACCCAGCGGGCCCCAAAGGTGAGCCATACCATTTAGCATTTACTTCGAAGCTATCCAGGATTCTAGTTGCAGTGCTCCTTTCGTGTCTAATTGTGTCTAATTGTGCCCAAACACCCTGCTCTGTACCAGCAGACAGCACCTACCGATAACCTGCGACTGCCACGCATCCTTGCAGATGGTTCTCGATAAACAGCTCCAAGACGACATGTTCCTGGTCAGCATACGGAGGGATTCCACCTGCAAGCATGTAGTACGCAACGCATGCCTGCTCAGGGAAGCAGCTGGCAAGTGGTTCTTGGGCTGGTCCCGGCCCTGCCCCGATGGGCCGCTGCACCTGCTGTTGCGCACGCCAACGGCTTTAGAGGTGCGGCGAGATGGGGGTGCCGGGAGGATCGCTGTTGCACGACTACGTGATGTACGTGCCCCTGCACATGTACAGGGTGGGAGCCCAAGACGTTGTTGAGGGATGGGTTGAAGAGTGACACAGTCAGAGTTTGCTGAGAGTTGTAGAAAGAGGCATTTAGCGAGAACCATCCGTTGCACACTGCGCGCTCTAGGACAGCCACACCCGATGTTAGGGACACCGCGAGATGAGGAGTCAGGCGGTGGCGACCCATGGGTCATCTGTTCCAGCACGGTGATACCATGCATGCATGTTGGTGTCCCCACAGGCGCTGGCGGCTCAGGGGGAGGGACAGCGGGAGCCCAATGCTGGGCAGGTGGGTGGGGAGGCGCTTCCACAAGCAGCGACCGGCACCACAGCAAGGCAAACTACTGCGGCTGAGGCCAAGGGGTTGGGGATGACAGCCGCACCCGCCACCACCGCCACTGCAGCACCAGTGCCAGGAACAGCTGTGGCATCGGCACTAGTTGCGGCGGCCGCTGCGGCAGCGTCACCAAGTGTAGCCCGGCAGCAAAGTAGCTTGCAGCTGGCGGTGGCAGAGGGTTCGCAGCAAGGGCTGGCGCGGCCACATCAGCAAGAGCAGCGGGGAGTGCGGCATGCAGCGGAGCCCGGTGGCACAGCAGGCGCAGCAGCTGCTCTAGCCGCCAGTGATCGGGTGCGAGTGGGTGCGAGTGGGTGCGGAAGGGTGCGGAAGGGTGTGGAAGGGTGTGGGAGGGTGTGGGAGGGCGCAAAATCAGGAAAGGTGCGAGAGGCGTGAGAGGTTCGTTGCTGCCAGCATGATATTGCCCTGCTGCGCATGGCAAGGGCCCTTGCTGGGACATGCATTCCCGCAATTGAGGACTCGGATGAGTGCGACCCAGCCATGAGTCATCTGTTCCAGCATACTGCCGTGCTATTGCCCACAGGCGATGGCGGCGCAGGGGGATGAACATGAGGAGCTGGTTGCTGGACAGCTGGATCAGGAGGCGGCGGTTGGGGGTGTACCTGAGGCGGCCGGCGGGGACCAGCAGGCGCAGGAGGGGCAGGAGGAGGTGGCGGCAAAGCGGCGCCAGGAGGTGCGGAGGCAGCCCGAGCGGAGGGGTCGGCGGCCCAAGCGCTACCGCTGGGAGGGCTTTACTGCTGGCGTGTCATCGAGCGACGGTAGGAAACTTGTCGCCATACCCAATAGATAGCCTCAAGAGTGGCCTCCAGCAGCGTCGGCTGCATTACGCAGGCATTTGGGTGGCTGGAAGGATATAAACGAGGTTACACCTGCAAGCCGTCAGACCACAGACGACGGGGCCTGCACTCCCGAAACCCGTGCGTGCATAGCCCTACTCACGGCCTACCCCTCACGCCCCCGCTCTTCCCTACATGCCGCCTTGCTTTGCCTCCCCGGCCCGCCCCCCTGCTGCTAATTGCATTGTAGGCACGCCAGACGACGAGGAGGATGTCAACTGGAGCCCCGACGACGGGAGGTGATTACGCCGGGTGTGTGGGGAGGGGGGAAAGAGGAAACAACTAACTGACTGAGGGATAAGGCTTCAACATGGGGAGGGTAAACATAAGGAAAACTGACGAACTGAAAGACGGGGCTTCTAACATGGGGAGGGGGGGGGGGCCGGGGCTGGGCAGTGCGCCTGTCCACGCGACTTCGAAGGTGGGCCACAGAATAATGTACAGCTTGCTTGTAAGCAGCGGGGTGCATGCGCCGTTAGGGAATACTACCCTGACATGTACGTCCTATGCAACGCCGCGTGCGTGCCAGCTGTCAGCCTTTATCCGCCCCTCATTGAGCCAGGTACAGCTGCATCTGTCCCCTTGATGGGTGATGTCCCCTTGCCCCTTCCCTGCCTGCTGCCGCTTCGCTCCCTCCCCCGCAGCTCTAATGATGAGTCGTAACGTGGCTGCGACTTCCTGCGTAATGGAGTGCATGCATTGGCAACTACTGCTGACTCTAGCGTCATGGACGGCCAGTTGCGGCCCCAGTTGTGGCCAACTATGACGCTGGTAGGTGCTGTTGGGCCGGCAGCAGTAAGGCAGCTGTGGCGGTGGTGGTAGGTTGTTTCCGTACAACATGCTCGTTGAAGACAGCAGGAGTGTATGATGGGTGGATCGGCTTGGCTTGCTTGCAACGGTCATCATGCATGTCTCCATGCGTCAGGCCTTGGCCGTTGGTTCACTAGCTCTTGGTTGCAGTTCGTTGGCTGTTACCTTACGTTTCGTTGCTGCCTGATACGTTGTTGCTCGTACACAGTAGTCCTAAGCATAGTGAGCATGGAACAGGGTGCAGGGAGTAGGTAGGGAGCAGGGTGCAGGGGGAAGGGAACAGAGAGCATGGCGCAATGAGCATGGTTCAGGGAACACTCAGAGCATAGGGCATAGCTAGGGAGCAGTGAGGAGAAAAGTGGGAAGCGGGAGGGGATTGCAGAAATGCATGGTAATTGAGTTCGGATAAATGAAAAGAAGTGGTTTCAGACGTACTTGGCAGGCGAAATTGAGGGTGCAAGGATCCGCGCTTGCACGGCATGTACTGTGCAAGGCACATATGATGAAGCTGATGCAATCCGCAAGGGGCAACAGGCAGGGCGGAAGTTGCATGCATGGCAATGGATGCTGGCAAGGATGGAGGTCTCCCCTCCTGCCGGTACATTGGCGGATGGAGGTCTCCCATTGCGGCTCCGACGACCCCCAGGCATGGAGGTTAGTGCTAGGTTGAAAGACGGCAGATCAGGGTGGGTATGAGCAGGTATTAGTTCGGGTATATTATGTACGGTAGCAGAATGATCTGAGTACGTTTTTTAGGTCCCTTTCAATCGGGGCGCGAGGCAGCAGGGGTTTCCTGGACTGGAGGGGCCTAGGTTGCGGGCAGGAGCATGGGGTCCCCGAACATGAATGAAATAGGGGACTCAGAGCTGCCTGCTATGTTTGAATTATCATGTATCAGTATGCGACGTTGCCTCGTTTGGAGGCCTTGGTGGCTAGTGTCCTTATGAGCCAGGGCTTTGGACTTGGGGTAACCGGGTTTCCTTTGCCGTGTAGGCTTGTTTCGGTTGGAAAGCCTGTCTGTAGCTTTCAGCCTTTAGGGGGGGTGCGCTGTGTCGTCCCTCTCTCCCTCTCTCAAGGTTTCCGACCTGCATGGAAGGTTACCCGTCCTTGTCAGTGTTGCGTGTTTGTTGCAGTTTGCTTTCTTTCCTGACTTGCATATGTGGTTTCCGTCAAGGGGTTATGCATGTCCCTGGTGACCGTTATTCAAGGTTTCCTTGCCATGCTGGCTTGGCTTGGTTAAACGCTCCATGTTATAACAAACATTGTTGAAGACGTGAGGGTTGTTGAACTGCATGCCTTTGAAGGCCCTTAGTCACAGCACTGCATTGTACGGAAGCAGGGTGTTTTAGGGTTTTGCATGTCGTCCCCTTGTCCCTCCACAGTTGGGCTGCTATTCGCACAATTTGATTGTCGTACGTGTTGGCCAAACATTGGCAGTAGTTGTACGGCAGCCTTCGGGTCCAACCAGTAGGATCTGCAGTGCCCAAGGATGGAGTAAGCTAAGAATCACCGGCACATGCAAGGTACACGTGTATAGCAGTCTCTGGGTTTAAGACGTCCCCAATCTCCACAAAGTGTGCTTGATAGACACATGCTGGGTAGACGATTCGCACGTGGTTGCGTGGTAGGTTCACGTTGCTGTGTAGTTTACAATGCGTGTATGGTATGCATGCGTTTCCAGTTTGAGGGCAAGGCGGTATGATGGGGACATGTGTATAGAGCCCAAAGCGGTGGAGGAGCGCTTCCTGTTGCTAATGGTTGTACGACAGGGTCAAAAAGTCGATGAGCAGTAACTACAGACATGACCACTACAGGATGATGCCGTAGTGATAGCAGGCATGCACCAAGGATGTTTTTCTGCAGCGGCCACATGGTTCATGGGCGCAAGGGAATTTGGCACTGCTAGCTAGCATGGCACGGGGAGCTCAGCTGACTAGGAGGACCACACACCGTGGCGATATTAAGTTGTGCCGGTCGCGGCGAGCGACCCGTGGGTCAGGGGATAAAAGAAGTAGTTTTGTTGGCGCCGGCAACGCTTTACACTTTACGTTGACCAGGCGTCTTTATGCGCTGCCTCTGTTAGCACTAAAGGCACTGTAGCAATGCTACCCGCTAATAGCGGCGTGTTTTTGTTGCCAGGTAAGTCTGGGCCGACAATGCAGTGGATTGAAGGGATATCGGTACTTCCGTGAAGGGATATCGGTACTTCCGTGCCTAGCCTGTATACCGAGCGGTATGTATGCACCGCACGATCAACCTTCAGACCTGCAGTTCCATTCTCTGAGGGCACTTCGCCCTCGCTCAGCAAGGCGAAGCTGCAACGAGCGAAGCAAGCAGTTGTACGACTGCCTCGGCAACCTGTGCAGCATAAGTAACAGCAACAAGAGCAATAACAACTGGCTGCAGCTATGCTGCGGGATGCATAATTTTGGCCACCGGCTGTGGCTGATGCAGCTGCTACGTTGCCTCATGCTTCAGCTGACGACCCATGGGTCATCTGGGTTTCCACCCATGAATGCCATTGAAGGAGTTGGTGCGGCAGGTGGTGTGGGTGCTGCCGCTGTCGGTGGTGGTGCGCCTGTCGTCCCACTGAGCCCCAAATGAACCTGTCAGGAGCGAGCCGATGAGGAGCGGAAGATAATGTATGGTGTCAGACAGGCCTGCATGCATTGGGGTTCGACATGCATTGTGTGTTGGGCTTACTTGTTGCTGACATGCTGCCTGAGCCTGAGCTTGTCGTCTTGCAGTATGTCAACACGTTCACCTACCACGGGCTACCAGTTCGCAATCGGCAAACAAGATGGTAATGTATTCCTGGACCGGACTGGGCAGAAGTACAAACATGACCTGCAGCAGGTGCTACGTGTAGCAGCTACCGGGCGGTCAAGCTGCTGTAGCCAATGGCCTCCACATGGTAATCGCATGCATGCATGGGCTCCAAAGCAACCTGGTGGCTGATGTGTCTTTGTCCAACCAGTTCAGCGTTTCTATCTTACTTCGTTTTTTCGAAAAATTTCTGAAAATGGCACATTTCTTAAAGCGGAAAATGACCAAAATCGTCAACGTTCTTTGAGCGTTTCTAGGGGTGGGAATCGTAGAGCCTTACGATGAAATTTCGCCAAACGTGCTTAAGATCGTGGGATCGACGCTCACATTTTTGCCTCATGGTCCCGGAGCCGGAGCCGGAGCCGGAGGCACGCGCCGAGCCTGCCCAATTCAGTTTTTCCCATCCTCCAATGGCACATATACCTGGTTTTGTGGGCTCGACCTTTTGTTGTTATGGTTAGCCATGACGGGAACCTGGCTGAGCCGAACCATGCTAAAAGTTAGGAGGGGTAGCTTGTGCATGGGAGGGGTAGCTTGTGCATGGCAGGGTTTGGTCACATACTCCGTACAAGTATCGGGAACATTGCACAACGCCCAATTAGGGAAAACCAAGTAAGGCAACTTGATACCAACCTGCTGGACCCCTGACCTCCCATATGCTAGCTGGTTGGGTACATGGAACTTCCACGCCACACATGGCCAATGCACGTATACTGCTGCCTACACCTTTGCTTATTGTTCCTTCCTAACCAAAGCGGTGAAGTGATGAAGAGGTAGGGGGACACCCGTTAACACGCGTACATGGCAGTCCTGCATGCTGGGGGCCCCTGGGAGCAGAACGGTCCCAAGGGTCTTCTAAGGCGCAGACGGTGCAGTAGTGCAAAGGGCTGCATTGATGTTGCTCTACGTGCTTCACTGTCGAGCACCGCAGAGGCCAAGACCAACCTGGTTCTTGGGGGAATACCTCTGGCTTGGCTGGCATACCAAGGGTGTCGTACATGCAAGAACTGCGACCATGATACGCCGGCAATGACTATTAGCTTTTGCTTTCAACCTTACTGTAATAAGCTTGTCCATTACAACATTAGTTTGCAACTGCGAGCACAGACTAGCCTTACTTGTGGTTTGGCGGGAACATTTGTGTTATGCGATTTGCATGCGGCTTGATATTCTGCAGCAAACAAGCAATGTTTAAGAAGTTCCTAATAAAGGCTGGGCGCAAATGTAGACGTATGCGTCTTTCAGGTGGGCAAACGCTGAATGCTGTGAGCGTTACAACGACGCCCAGAACGCGTGCCTTAATCGACGCCACGCCAAGTGTAAAAGCATGCAATGCTTACAACAATCGGCTGTCGCCCCTGCTGCCAGGCTGCCTTGTAAGGAAAAGCGTTGACGGACCCTAGCATGATAACCGTGGTGGTGCGGGTTGCAATTACCGTTGGGGTTAGCTAGCAGCAGCCGGGATCCTTCACGGCCAAGGTAAGTGGGGTGATGAGGGGGAAGGTCTTCCCACTTCTAGTGGCTGAAGGCACACCACCACCACAAAAGTAACCACCGTGGGCGCGTGAGTAGGTCGGGGGGGGAAGACCCTCCCCCCAAGAGAGCACAGGGTTAAGGCTAGCAGAAGCGCTGCGCTACACTTTAGGGTACGGGCACGTTGCGAATTGGGCCCTTCCATTAGGCTGATGTAGTACTGCTGATCAAGGCACGAAAACCTAGGAGCTCCTTTTCGAAAAAGGTTTTCGAAAAATAGGCCCTTGGGAGGCCCCGGATCGTATACGAAAAATTTCAGGGGTCGACCGTGAGGGCTGTCGAAAAAAATTGGCCTAAAACGTCACTTATCGTGGGGTTCCACGATCGCCCTGGAGGGAAGATAGAAACACTGAACCAGTTCTACCTTCATCCGCCAACCACACGTGGTCCTAGCCGGCAGGCTGCTATGACCATGCACGCCAGACTTTGGACATGGGGAGTAGGCAGGGGAATGACCGCATACGGCCTTCAATTGTTGGCGACATTTGAAGGGGGTTAAGCAAGGAGCGAGCTCAGTTGCAGCTGTTTGCTGTGCGGAACGAAGATTGCATGGTTCCCGTTGGTGCGTTTTGCAAGTGACTTGTCAGGCACCCGAGGTTGCCACCCTGGCTGTGTGCTGGGTAGATGTTGGGTGCCAGGTTGACATATCTCATTCACTTTTGGTCTGGAATATAATCTGCTACGATAACACACATTGCGCGTGTACGCAAGCGTGCGTTTTCAACTTACAAGCATTGACTCAGCAGCGCCCCAACAAAGCGTGGGAGAGCGTGTGCGGTTGCTCGTTGATTCAGGGTCAATGACTGCTGGCAGGACCGTCCCGTACTGGTCTCAGCTGGACTATTGATAGCAGGAACTAAGAATGCATTCGGGTTACTGTAGGCTGGTTGGTGTAAAACGAACTGCGCTGGGCTAGGCACAGGGTGCCCCGCCGCTGACTGGGAGGACCCGACCCATACATACCCGCGCATCGGTACTTCGGTAGATCACCCTTAAGAAGCAGTTCATCGAATGCATCGAACACAACACTGAGGCCTGCTGTCCATTCCACATTCAGGAAGCAACACCCATCCTGAAGAAGTAAGCTACAACGAGCGAAGCAAGCAGTGTACGACTTGCCTCGGCAATCGTGAGAGATAGCTAGACCTCGTGCGCATGCTAAGCAACGCGCAGCTTCAACAAGTCAAAACAATTCGTCGTTATATATCCTTTGTCCTATCCTTTTCGTTATCAATCAGCCCTAGCTGCGGCAGTATTTCCTTTCTGAGGCGAGCTGCTGAAGCGCCCGGCTAGCCTTGCTAAGCACCGTCATCGCTCCCAGCGGGTAAGTTGTCACCACGCGGATAGCTGCTGGCCTTGCGTGTGCTAGCTTCAAGAAGCTGCAGCACATTTGTCTGCCGCTGTGGCCTACGGAGCGCTTTTGTTGCCAGCGTTAACAAACATTTTGCCCCCGAGTTGTGCAATCTTATGACACTACAAAACAATCTTGTGATACTACAAACCTACGTTTCAGCACCCCAAGGTTGGATGCGACAGAGGGGCTGGTGACATACATCAGACTGCTTTTGCCCTGCACGTCTGGTCACTTGCAGGCAAGGCACGACGCTCTTGAAGGAGCACGTACAGATGATAACTGCTTCAGCCCGACTCGACTTCTGCTGCCGTTAAAGTAAAATGGAAACAGGCGCTCCAAAGGTCCGGGAGCTAATCATTTTACATTCGGACATTGAGCCCGAGTTCCTCTGCGTGTTAACTGGCTGCATTGCGCGTCACCCTGTCCTTGATCCGGGCGACGGGAGAGGGCGGCCTGTGGAGAAGGCTGCCTTTGAGAGGCACCAGAAGCTATATCGGGTCACACCCCTTCAAGGTTCGTTTACCATTTTCTTCCCTAACCGGGTAAAGTTGTCACCTCTCTATGAAATGCATCCTACATTTTTTATTGCCTCCAACAGGCAACCAACCCATTGTGCCACAAGTTGTGCACCGGCGCAAGGAGCGTATTGAGGAATGGCTTAAAGCACACGCAACCATCAAGCCCGCGGCCAAGCTCATCAAGCAGGAGCAGCAGCCAGCAATGCTGTCACCAGCTGATGACCTGGGCTTCAGCATGACCCATGGGTCAGCTGGACTGCACAAGTCAATCGCATTGGAGTTCCAAGTCAAGCTCATCAAGAAGCACTTTATCTGCCCTCTCACATGGTGCCTAATTATTGACCCTGTGATGGCCAAGCATAACCCAAACATCTTGTTTGAGCGGGCAGCAATTGAGGAGTACATTGCAGAGGAGGGCTGCAACCCAGTCGATGGTGAGTGTATGTGTGGAGATTTGGATGACATCCAAATGTCCTGTTACATGAAAGGAGACTTCCTGAACATCAAGAATAAACGAATCGAATTCAGACGTTATATATCACAACGGCCCCGTAAGGATTGGGGAGGGGGAAACCCTTAATCCTAATTACCACCACACAACCCTAAAAGCTAGCTATACTAGTAGTACCACCCACCAGGCCAGTGGTGCATGAACCCTGCAGCTCAGCCCATACTGACACCCACCATACCTCTTCCAACATCCACAATGGCCATGCTGTGCCCATGCTGCCTCCACATTGCTGCAGGATCCCCCCTGAGCATATGCGACCTGTGGCAGGACCCTGCGGACGTCCGGATGCTGGAGGGGATTGCTCGGCGCTACAAGGTCTACCCTGCTGGCAATGCGGATCCTGGGTGCGTCGCGCCAAAGGTGGTCATTGACCTGGCTCTCAGCTCTGACGAGGAGGGTGAGGAGATGCCACCGCAAGGCCAGCAGCCTGGGTCTGCTGCTGCTGCTGCTGCTGCAGAGATGTGCCATGCCTCACCACAGCAGCAGATGCAGCAAGTGTTTCAAACACAGCCAGGGCAGCCGGAGCAGCCGCAACAAAGCCCACAGCAGGCTGCAGCGGTGGCTCATCAGGAGCCAGGCCCCGCAGTAGCAGGAACCAGGCCCGCATCCGAGCAACTGCCCTATCAGCAGCAACAGTGCCAACCTGGCCAAGATGGCAGCACTGCTGGCGGTGCCGCAGCTGAAGGCAATGCCGGCCCCAGAAGTGCTGGTGGTGGCTGCTGCAGTGGCCCCACCGCCACCCCACTGGTGGTATCACCTCCAGCATCCAATCCGACTGCAGCAGCAGCGGTGGCAGTGGGGTTGAAGCAGGGGCAGGCAGCCGAGGCAGTGCTACTAGCCCGCCAACCGGGGCAGCAGCAGGGACTGCGAGATGAAGCTGAGCCTGGCAGCACAGCAGGCACTGTAACTGCTGCTGCAGCCACCACTGGTCAGCAACCTAGACAGCGTCAGCGCTCGAGGGTGAGCATTATAGATTGAGGGATTGTGTGGTCCCCTATCTGCACCTACATCTTAAACGCTGGCATGGTGGATCGCATGTTTGCATGTGTTCTGCTTCACTCACACTTTAAGAGGCCCCCAATGCTGGCCAGTTGAGCTTCATGACATGCATGGCTGTATGTGAGGCCCCTTCTCACGCGCCCCCACCGCTTTCCCGCTCTGCTGTAAATGCCGTTAAGCCACTTTTCTGATCTTTGCAACGATCACCCCCAGGACTACAGGCAACGGCTGCTTCATGCACGGGGCTACCTGGGCATCATCCAGGAGCACGTCAATGAATGGTTCGGGCCAACCTTCGTGAAGGGTACTGTGGTGGTGAAGGTGAAGGCAGCAGCGGGGCCCATAGGAAACCGACACTGTAGAGAAGGTTATTAGCTTACTACCCCCTGCATGTCGCATTTAACGTTACCACAGTAGGCAGTACGGCCGGCAAATGCATGTAGGGCCCACCCAGCGGGCCCCAAAGGTGAGCCATACCATTTAGCATTTACTTCGAAGCTATCCAGGATTCTAGTTGCAGTGCTCCTTTCGTGTCTAATTGTGTCTAATTGTGCCCAAACACCCTGCTCTGTACCAGCAGACAGCACCTACCGATAACCTGCGACTGCCACGCATCCTTGCAGATGGTTCTCGATAAACAGCTCCAAGACGACATGTTCCTGGTCAGCATACGGAGGGATTCCACCTGCAAGCATGTAGTACGCAACGCATGCCTGCTCAGGGAAGCAGCTGGCAAGTGGTTCTTGGGCTGGTCCCGGCCCTGCCCCGATGGGCCGCTGCACCTGCTGTTGCGCACGCCAACGGCTTTAGAGGTGCGGCGAGATGGGGGTGCCGGGAGGATCGCTGTTGCACGACTACGTGATGTACGTGCCCCTGCACATGTACAGGGTGGGAGCCCAAGACGTTGTTGAGGGATGGGTTGAAGAGTGACACAGTCAGAGTTTGCTGAGAGTTGTAGAAAGAGGCATTTAGCGAGAACCATCCGTTGCACACTGCGCGCTCTAGGACAGCCACACCCGATGTTAGGGACACCGCGAGATGAGGAGTCAGGCGGTGGCGACCCATGGGTCATCTGTTCCAGCACGGTGATACCATGCATGCATGTTGGTGTCCCCACAGGCGCTGGCGGCTCAGGGGGAGGGACAGCGGGAGCCCAATGCTGGGCAGGTGGGTGGGGAGGCGCTTCCACAAGCAGCGACCGGCACCACAGCAAGGCAAACTACTGCGGCTGAGGCCAAGGGGTTGGGGATGACAGCCGCACCCGCCACCACCGCCACTGCAGCACCAGTGCCAGGAACAGCTGTGGCATCGGCACTAGTTGCGGCGGCCGCTGCGGCAGCGTCACCAAGTGTAGCCCGGCAGCAAAGTAGCTTGCAGCTGGCGGTGGCAGAGGGTTCGCAGCAAGGGCTGGCGCGGCCACATCAGCAAGAGCAGCGGGGAGTGCGGCATGCAGCGGAGCCCGGTGGCACAGCAGGCGCAGCAGCTGCTCTAGCCGCCAGTGATCGGGTGCGAGTGGGTGCGAGTGGGTGCGGAAGGGTGCGGAAGGGTGTGGAAGGGTGTGGGAGGGTGTGGGAGGGCGCAAAATCAGGAAAGGTGCGAGAGGCGTGAGAGGTTCGTTGCTGCCAGCATGATATTGCCCTGCTGCGCATGGCAAGGGCCCTTGCTGGGACATGCATTCCCGCAATTGAGGACTCGGATGAGTGCGACCCATGAGTCATCTGTTCCAGCATACTGCCGTGCTATTGCCCACAGGCGATGGCGGCGCAGGGGGATGAACATGAGGAGCTGGTTGCTGGACAGCTGGATCAGGAGGCGGCGGTTGGGGGTGTACCTGAGGCGGCCGGCGGGGACCAGCAGGCGCAGGAGGGGCAGGAGGAGGTGGCGGCAAAGCGGCGCCAGGAGGTGCGGAGGCAGCCCGAGCGGAGGGGTCGGCGGCCCAAGCGCTACCGCTGGGAGGGCTTTACTGCTGGCGTGTCATCGAGCGACGGTAGGAAACTTGTCGCCATACCCAATAGATAGCCTCAAGAGTGGCCTCCAGCAGCGTCGGCTGCATTACGCAGGCATTTGGGTGGCTGGAAGGATATAAACGAGGTTACACCTGCAAGCCGTCAGACCACAGACGACGGGGCCTGCACTCCCGAAACCCGTGCGTGCATAGCCCTACTCACGGCCTACCCCTCACGCCCCCGCTCTTCCCTACATGCCGCCTTGCTTTGCCTGCCCGGCCCGCCCCCCTGCTGCTAATTGCATTGTAGGCACGCCAGACGACGAGGAGGATGTCAACTGGAGCCCCGACGACGGGAGGTGATTACGCCGGGTGTGTGGGGAGGGGGGAAAGAGGAAACAACTAACTGACTGAGGGATAAGGCTTCAACATGGGGAGGGTAAACATAAGGAAAACTGACGAACTGAAAGACGGGGCTTCTAACATGGGGAGGGGGGGGGGGGGCCGGGGCTGGGCAGTGCGCCTGTCCACGCGACTTCGAAGGTGGGCCACAGAATAATGTACAGCTTGCTTGTAAGCAGCGGGGTGCATGCGCCGTTAGGGAATACTACCCTGACATGTACGTCCTATGCAACGCCGCGTGCGTGCCAGCTGTCAGCCTTTATCCGCCCCTCATTGAGCCAGGTACAGCTGCATCTGTCCCCTTGATGGGTGATGTCCCCTTGCCCCTTCCCTGCCTGCTGCCGCTTCGCTCCCTCCCCCGCAGCTCTAATGATGAGTCGTAACGTGGCTGCGACTTCCTGCGTAATGGAGTGCATGGGCAACTACTGCTGACTCTAGCGTCATGGACGGCCAGTTGCGGCCCCAGTTGTGGCCAACTATGACGCTGGTAGGTGATGTTGGGCCTACAGCAGTACGGCAGCTGTGGCGGTGGTTGTTGCCGTACAACATGCTTTTGAAGACAGCAGGAGTGTATGATGGGTGGCCCGGCTTGGCTTGCAACGGTTACCATGCATGTCTCCATGCGTCAGGCCTTGGCCGTTGGTTCACTAGCTCTTGGTTGCAATTCGTTGGCTGTCACCTTTTCGTTGCTGCCTGATTCGTTGTTGCTCGTACACAGTAGTCCTTAGCATAGTGAGCATGGAACAGGGAGTAGGGAGTAGGTAGGGAGCAGGGTGCAGGGGGAAGGGAGCAGAGAGCAGGGCGCAATGAGCAGGGTTCAGGGAACACTCAGAGCATAGGGCATAGCTAGGGAGCAGTGAGGAGAAAAGTGGGAAGCGGGAGGGGATTGCAGAAATGCATGGTAATTGAGTTCGGATAAATGAAAAGAAGTGGTTTCAGACGTACTTGGCGGGCGAAATTGAGGGTGCAAGGATCCGCGCTTGCACGGCATGTACTGTGCAAGGCACACATGATGAAGCTGATGCAATCCGCAAGGGGCAACAGGCAGGGCGGAAGTTGCATGCATGGCAATGGACGTTGGCAAGAATGGAGATCTCGCCGCCTACCGGGCGGTACATTGGCGGAAAGCGCCTCCCATTGCGGCTCCGATGACCCCCAGGCATGGAGGTTAGTGCTCGGTTGAAAGACGGCAGAGCAGGGTGGGTATGAGCAGGTATTTGTTCGGGTATATGATGTACGGCGGTAGCAGAATGAAAGACGTCTGATCTGAGGGCGGTACATTGGCGGAAAGCGCCTCCCATTGCGGCTCCGATGACCCCCAGGCATGGAGGTTAGTGCTCGGTTGAAAGACGGCAGAGCAGGGTGGGTATGAGCAGGTATTTGTTCGGGTATATGATGTACGGCGGTAGCAGAATGAAAGACGTCTGATCTGAGTACGTCGTTTAGGTCCCTTTCACTCGGGGCGCGAGGCAGGGGTTTCCTGGACTGGAGGTTGCGGGCAGGAGCATGGGGTCCCTGAACATGAAGGGAATAGGGGACTCAGAGATGCCTGCTATGTTTGAATTATCATGTACCAGTATGCGACGTTGCCTCGTTTGGTGGCTTTGGTGGCTATTGTCCTTATGAGCCAGGGCTTTTGACTTGGGGTAACCGGGTTTCCTTTGCTGTGTAGGCTTGTTTCGGTTGGAAAGGCTGTCTGTAGCTTTCAGCCTTTAGGGGGGGTGCGCTGCTGTGTCATCCCTCTCTCCCTCTCTCAAGGTTTCCGACCTGCATGGAAGGTTACCCGTCCTTGTCAGTGTTGCGTGTTTGTTGCAGTTTGCTCTCTTTCCTGACTTGCATATGTGGTTTCCGTCAAGGGGTTATTATGCATGTCCCTGGTCACCGGTGTTCAGGGTTTCCTTGCCACGCTGGTTTAGCTTGGTTAAACGCTCCATGTTAAAACAAGCCTTATTGAAGTAAGACGTGAGGGTTGTTGAACTGCATGCCTTTGAAGGCCCTTAATCACAGCACTGCATTGTACGGAAGCAGGGTGTTTTAGGGTTTTGCATGTTGTCCCCTTGTCCCTCCACAGTTGGGCTGCTATTCGCACAATTTGATTGTCGTACGTGTTGGCCAAACATTGGCAGTAGTTGTACGGCAGCCTTCGGGTCCAACCAGTAGGATCTGCAGTGCCTTGCAAGGATGGAGTACGAATCACCGTCACATGCAAGGTACACGTGTATAGCAGTCTCTGGGTTTATTTAAGACGTCCCCAATCTCCACAAAGTGTGCTTGATGGACACATGTTGGGGTGACGTTTCGTACGTGGTTGCGTGGTAGGTTCACGTTGCTGTGTAGTTTACAATGCGTGTATGGTATGCATGCGTTTCCAGGTTGAGGGCAAGGCGGTGTGAGGGGGACATGTGTATGTGTATAGAGCCCAAAGCGGTGGAGGAGCGCTTCCTGTTGCTAATGGTTGTACGACAGGGTCAACAAGTCTCGTGGGATTGTTTCATTCCCTGTAATGAGCAGTGAGCATTCCCTGTAGTGAGCAGTGTAGTGTTCATGTCTGTAGTTACTGCTCATTACAGTAACTACAGACATGAACACTACAGGATGATGATGCCGTAGTGATAGCAGGCATGCACCAAGGATGTTTTTCTGCAGCGGCCACATGGTTCATGGGCGCAAGGGAATTTGGCACTGCTAGCTAGCCTAGGCACGGGGAGCTCAGCTGACTGGGAGGACCACACACCGCGGCGATTCTAACTTGTGCCGGTCGCGGCGAGCGACCCGTGGGTCAGGAGATAAAAGAAGTAGTTTTGTTGGCACCGGCAACGCTTTACACTTTACGTTGACCAGGCGTCTTTATGCGCTGCCTCTGTTAGCACTAAAGGCACGGTAGCAATGTTACCCGCTAATAGCGGCGTGTTTTTGCTGCCAGATAAGTCTGGGCCGACAATGCAGTGGATTGAAAGGATACCGGTACTTTCCGTGTCTAGCCTATATACCGAGCGGTATGTATGCACCGCATGATCAACCTTCAGACCTGCAGTTCCATTCCCTGAGGGCACTTCGCGCTCGCTCAGCAAGGCGAAGCTACAACGAGCGAAGCAAGCAGTTGTACGACTGCCTCGGCAACCAGTGCAGCAGACCTTGTATGCATCCTCGCCGGCGCGCAGTTCATAAGCTTGGCCCCATAAAAGACGCTGCATGCTTCCAGGCAATTCATAATCATCGTTTATTTGCGTTAAACTGGTTTTGCCAGCTAGCAATCAGCCTTGGTTGCGGCAGTGTTCTCTTTCTGAGGCGAGCTGAGGCGCTCTGCTGGTTTTCGCCCACGTCGTTAGTCGCTCCCATCCAGGTACGTATTGACGTGTGTTAGAATGCTTGCCTTTCCGTCGTCGTTGCAACACATCCTAGATTTAATCCGGCGGGCAGTTTCCGCCGTTTACTCGCCCGCTGCTATCCATGTTAACTTTTGAGACGCGCCATGCGGCTATATCCTCCTTCAGTCTAGCTATCTGTCGCGACCATGAGGGGGTGGATCCCGATATTCCTTGATTGCGTATGCTAGCCAGCCGCTTGCACACTAAGCTGCAGCAATTTGACGACTGCTTACAAATTGAAGTCAACTGTAAGCCGTCGCCGACATCCTAACCTATCCAGCAATATTCCGTGCAACCTTTCGCAAACACCCGCACCTCGTCACTCTATCTTGCACTTCTTCCTGCTCAAGCTCCTCCACTCTCCTGCCAGCAGGCTTACCTTCCACCACCGCTTCCTTCCCTCATCCCTTTCATTACCCCAACCCAACCATCCAGTTTCCAGCTCCAATCCTCATCATGGCCTACTTCGCCGCCAGCCCCAGCGATACCGTGGAGCTAGGTCCCCGCGGCTCCCTCCCCCCTCAAGCCAGGGCCAAGCTCTCCGCCGGTCAGGTTGTCAGCATGGCCTTCGTCTCCAACGGTGTTGACCTGCTGCATTACGCCGTGGTCGAGGAGGTTCGCGGCAACGACGTTTTCCTCATCCACTTCTTCCGGCGGCCTTCTGCAGCCGTGGACAACAGCAACAATATCAACAACAACAACAACGGCGGCGGCGGTGCCGCTGCTACCGTTGCCGCTGCCGTCTCTGCGGCGGCGGCAAGGGACGTTGGCGGCCTGATGAAGCTCGCAAGTCAGCTGCTTATGCCCAATGCCGCCGCAGACGCCGGCGGAGGTGCTGCTGCAGCAGCAGCAGCCGCTGCTCCTGGGGAGATGACCATACAACGCACCACACTGAGGGCCATGTGGGTCATGTGCAATGGCGGCAACGCCGTCGTCGCCCCCACCAGCAACACCCTCCACATCGACCGCATCCCGGCGAATGACCAACACGCCGCCGAGGTCGTTGCGCGCGCCCGCCGAGTCCTCGAGCGGGAGGGCGGCAACTTCGACGGCAAGCCGTACGACCCCGTACACAACAACTGCGAGCACTTTGCCATGTGGGCCTTTGACGGTGTCGAGGCATGCAGTAAGCAAGTGTTCAGCGGCGGGGTGGTGGGTGTGGCGGTGGGTTCGCTGGCGTGTATTGGAGGGGCGGCGGTGACGATGCTGGGGATGTGGGCGGTGCGCTCGTCCAAAAAGAAGGTGCCTGATCAGGAGAAGGAGCAGCGGCAGCAGCAGCAGCAGGGGCGGGCTGATGCGGTGGCGGCAGGCAGGCCAGCTGCAGCAGGGGATGCTGCCGGCTGGGGCCTGGGCGCGCTGAGCGTAGTGGAGTAGATCCGAGAAGGTTCGGGATGTGCTGTTAAGAAGAGAAGACGAACGGAGAAGGTTTGCGGGGGTGTTGTTGAGGATAGGGAGGTGTGCCGTGTGGGGTTTTGGGACGTGTGTTTGGCACAGACCCCTGGGTGGTAATCTGAGAGCATGCATGAGAAGAGGTTGGTTACATGCAGAGAGCCAAGAGACTCAATGAGAGAAACAATGTCTTCCAGCTTTTTGGATGTCTTTTATGGGGGTGTCGACCGGTAACGTTGTGGCGGCAACTCGCAGCCGCAGGTTGGGTATGATGCAGGAGGGTTTATCGTGTGTAGGTTTGCGGCAGCTGTAGACGTGCATGTATGTACAACAACTTTTGTCGAGGCTGGACGATGCCACTTCTGTAAGGAAGTATGACTGAAGAAGTAGGTTTCTTGCTAGCTGCCGTGGTGCGTGGAAGCAGATGGCGCGCTTGCATGGGTGTACGACAGCGATGGCAAATCGACCCAGCCTATCAGGGCTGTCCACGCGTTTGTGCTTTTAACTGCCGTTGTGATTGATAGTATCGGGTGGCCATCCCTCTGCCGGGATTGTGGCCGCCTAGGTCCCACCCACCCGCCCGAGGTCGCGCCTAGCGAGTGGGGGTTTGCTTGCGTTTCGTCTTTAGTAGGACAACCAGTTTGGGGAGCTACTTGGACGCCGGTCTCTCAATTAAGGGGGTCAATCGGCAATCGAGGTGCAACACTGGGTGCTGTCTGCACAATCGGCCACTAGTGCATCTTAAACATGGGTTGGGGCGTCGGGATGTGTGGGTTAGGGTAGGGTTCTTGGCGTGGAGGCGACGTACGGCTGGTTGGCTTCGGCTTACATTATCTGCTGTAACGCATCACGGCAGCTAAAGCAAGAAACCATCAGTTTTGTGTTGTGCAGTTGCATGCATGTACGTACCGGTATGTACGCTGCCCGTACTGCGGCCCAGGACTGGGTGTCTTTCCTGCCCAATGTGCTGTTCTGTCGGCCTTCGACTTCAGTAAAAAGCCTCCAACCAAGCACTCGTGAGACAGTCCCTGCACGCCGCGTATAAATTGGTTTATGCGTTGCCCCCAATGCTGACTTGCTGAGGGTCTTTGAAAGTTGTCATGGCTCTGTGCATAGCTGTACGATGAGAGGCATGTGGGTTGTGGGGCTCTCTGCCGTGCACATGCGTGCTTGTCGTTCTTGTTGGCATGCATGCTTCGTAGCCTACGTCCTAGTTTTGTTTCCTTCCTCAGGCAATCCGTACGTTGCAATTGCCGTATAACATGTACGGCACACAGCGTCCGTACATGTCTGCTTGCAAGGCGCTCGGGATGCAGCTTCGCTTAGCAAGCGAATGCGATGAGCATGCATTCCTGTATCAGCTATTAGTCCATGTAAGCCTGTCTGCATGAAAGGTCGTTCTGCCATCCAGTCACAGTCAGCGCACACAGAATGGTTCACGAGACCCGTCACACAAAAGCTACGTACGATAGTCATTCAGGAAGGTCACGGCAGTTGTAGACCAGATGTAAGAGCCCCATCCACATCCCACCTTCAAGCGTCTATAAGTAACATATTATTCGCTATTAGCCGAAAGGCACTCTACCGGGTATGGTACCACGAACCAAGCGGACGGAGTAATACATAGATGGCTGCTGGTGCCATTCCGTATGCTTCTAGTAACTTCCAGACTTGCTGGCAGTCCTCCCATCGCCACCGAGTGCCCGTCACGTGACAGGCACTCGACTGCCCTTCACCCCCTCTGACGAGAGCTTCCCTCACATACCACCACAGGGCTCCCCGCACATACCACAGCCAGCAAACCGATCCCGAACCCCACTCCCGATACTCCCATTACTTGGACATAGTCCCTAAACCCAAGCACTACGTGTCCAGACTACCAGACGCCTCGTCACGCGTCCTCAGCCGGCTGCTGCTGCGGCATCTCCCAGTCTCCCGCCGCGCTTTCCTGCATCAGGCCCAGCAGAGCACTCTCCAGCACGAAATCCGCCAGGATCTGCCACTCGGGACTAACCAACACCCGCCGCAGGGCCGGATCTGATTCCATCTCCGATTCCAAGCTGGGTGGTGCTGCTGCGGCCTCTGCTACAGGTGCTTGTACGGCAGCCGTGGTGGCTGTGGCAGCTGACCTAGGTGAGGCAGCAGCAGGCTGTGGAGGAGGAATGGTGCTCAGGCGCGGACCAGCTATCGAGGGGTTGTAGTTGGAGGGCGAGGGTTGTGAGGGGAGCACCTTGGGGCGGGGAGACGCTCGAGGAGAGGGACGAGGGCTTGGCGTGGCGGCCTCGGCGGCGGCTGCAGCAGCAGCCGCGGCCTCGGCACGGACCCGTGGGTCATAGCATGGCGGCGGTTTGGCCCGCAACTCCGCAAAGCTTGGCACCTCTGGTGGCGGCAGGAACTCAAGCGCGCGCTGGAGGTCCGGATCATCCATGAGCTCGGAGAACAAACCAGAGAGGATCTCACGCGCCGATACCATCGCGTCGTAGTCAACGCCGCCGCCGGTTGGCGGCGGCGGCGGCAGCGGTGGCGGCGGAGGAAGCTCGCCGCCGTTGGCACCCTCGACTGCGCCGTCAAGTGTGGAATCCGCGGCGGCGGAGATCTCGCCGCCGCTGGCCTCGCCGCCAGCGTGAAGACTTCCTGTCGACGGCTGAGTAGACACTGTCGATGCGGAGGCAATGCCGTCAAGCGTCCGTGGTTGCGATGATGCAGCAGCGGAGGAGCGCTGTCGATCCCGACTAGGTGCGTTGGCAAACGACACCTCCGCCGCCTCACTGTTAGGGCCGCCTCCCCGGGTGGCTCCGTCCGGCGGCGTTCCCGCCATGACGGGGGTCACGGGCCTGGGTGATGCGTCCATGTTACCTGCCCCACCCCGCAAACTGACTCCCAAATCCAACGGACCGGCGCCTCCCCTGCCGCCGGTGGCGCCAGGATCCAGCCGCGGCCAAGATCCTCCCCCGCCACCCGCCGACCCATAAGCCATCTGCCGCGGCGACTTCATATCCGCTGCTGACGCCTCCGCCGATGCCCATGACCCCTCCGCCCTTGCCTGGTACCCAGATGCCAGGCTTACCGACGCCTCCGCCGAAACCCCTGACGCTTCCGCCGACACCGCCTTCTTCTGTTCCCAGAACGGTACCAGCGTTGGCGGAATCCAGCAAGCGCCCTCCGCCACCGCCGCCCGGGCCTGCTCCCGCTGATGTGGCGGCACGTATCGCAGCGCCGCCAGCTGCTCCTGATTCAGAATGCGGCCCGACAACGTCACCGTAATGACCTGGGGCTCCGGAACCATCAGCGGCGCGCGCGCCGCCTCCGCCGCCCGCGTCTCTCGCGCTTCCAGCGTCGCCGCAAACTGCTGCGCTAGCGGCTCTATCCGCGCCCGGATCGCCGTCGTCATGTAGGCGTGCACCGGCAGGCGACTGCGCAGCCGACTGGCGCGCTGCGCCGCCGCCGCCGCCGGCGGCAGCGGCGGCGGCCCCGTCCGCGCCGGACTCTCCGCAATCACCTCCTCAACCACCTCTACTGGGACCGCCGGCGGGGGTTCCGCGGCAGCAGCGGCTGCCGCCGCCGCCGCTGCCGCCTCCTCCATAACCTCCTCATCAACCCGTACATTGCACCTGACCTCCCCCTCGAAGATCTGCGGCGTAACGCCCGCATGTAATGCAACCCGGCAGACGAGCCGCTCCCCGGGTTCTAGAGAGCCGGAGGGCGGTGTGATGGCGAGGGCGGCTTGCAGGGGCCGACCGTCTAGCAGGTCAGCTGAGGGCAGCTGTGGGGAGAATGCGGAGGAGGCGTTGAAGCCGCTGTTGCTGTTGCTGAGGCCGGGTGGGGGCGCCAGTGCCGCAAGGTCCCACTCGAAGGCGAGCGGGTAGCGGGACTTGTTGGTGAGGACGATGATGCGGCGGGTAAGACCCTGGGCAAGGAGCGAGGGAGGTGAAGGGGGAGGGCATGGGGTAAGCGGTGAGGGGTGGGCATTGGGTAGGTGCTACCCGTTTCGGCCCTCTGTCCTTCAACCTGCCCAAACACCTGCGCTTCCATCCATGCCTCCCTCAAGCGCTACGCCCCATTTGACACAACCAGCCAGCCAGCCCTCCCACTCACCCGCACCGGCGTCACCCCCAATGACACCACATCATGATCCACCATCGCCAGCCGCCCCGCCATCCCCGCACTGGGTGCGCAGCTCAGGCCCCGCCAAGTGGCCCACTCGCGGTCCGCCGCCGCTTCCTGCGCCGCCGCCGCCGCCTCGGCGTCGTCGTACAAGCTGGTGTCGGGCTCCGCCGCCGTGGCAGCGAGTGGTACGGCAGGCGCGGCGCCGTGTGCGGCCGAGGGTCGCGGCGCGAAGCCCCGGCCTATGAGCTCTATGATCTCCATGCCGCCGTCGCCCAGCAGGATCGGCACACGGACGGAGTACTCCTTAGCCTGGGTACAGGAGGAGGGAGGGAGGGAGGGAGGGAGGGAGATAAGGGTAAGAGGAAGGGTGGTACACATGGTTAGCAGTGCCATGCAGCGTCTGTCATGCAGTCCTTTCATGGCCTTTGCCTTTGCTCTGCGCACTGCCTACCTCACCCAGCCAAGCCCTCCTCTCCAGCACATCTCCATAGCCCATCGCAACGAACACCCCCCAGTCAACCTGTAAACACCTCAGCACCTTACACACCCCCACCCCACCACCCTCCAGCCCTCCCTCGCCCCTCCCCTACCTCCAGCGGTGAGAACCTCCAGTTCACCGCCGCCACTCCGCCCACCGGCACCTCCCCCTCCTGCCGCCCCACCAGCTCCAATACCCGGTGCCCCCAGCTCTCCGCAGCCAACGCGGCCAGAGGCCCTGTGTCCAACCGCCATTGCAAGGGAGCCGGACCGCCGCAGTGCAAGCAGTACATCTGCAGCGGCGGCGAGGGGTCGCCCAGGGCCACCGGCTCCAAGCGGAAGGTACGCAGGGGCGGGGGTAAGGCGAGGAGCTGATGTGGCTCGGGAGTGGTGACGGCCTGGAGCTGCAACCGCAGCCGCTTGCCGTCCGTGATGTGGAGGAAGACGGGCAGCTCGAACACGCCTTCGACCAAGGGACGGAACTCGACGGTTACCGTTGCGCGCGCGCCTGGCTCCAAGCTGCCGCTGCGGGGACGCAGTTCGAAGAGCTTGTGCTCTGAGATGAGGTCCCGCATGCGTTCTTCTTCGGAACGCGGACGTCCCGGTTCCACCCAGTTTTCGAGATCCACGCCATCTGGGTCGTCGAAGGAGTGCAACTGCCAACTAACCGGCAACGATGTGGGGTTGGAGATCTCCACGTGTACGACACGGGGCCTGCCGTACAGTCCATGGGTTCCGAATTCCATGTAGAATGGGCGCATGGCGGCGCAGGCGGCCTCGGTGGTGAGTGAGCCGCGATCTTGCGCGGAACGCAGCCGGATCTCAGTAACCGAAACCTCCGTACGGAGGTGGTAGTTGAGGTCGTTGAGGCCCAGCAACTGCCACAGCAACTGCTTGGGCAGCCCCTCACAGTATACATCCGTTACTTCCAATGTCGGAAAGGCAGCAACTGCGGTAAGCGGTGCAATGACCGGCGGCGGCAATGCGGCGACGTCCGCCCCGCCGCTGCTGCTGTCGCCGACAGCGACTGTCGTGACGGCGGCGGACAGTCGGCCGCCTGACGGCGGCCGATTCGGCGCGCCGTTACCAACCAACAGCGGCGACACGGTGCTACTGCGGCAGCGGACTTGCAGGCTGTAGCGCTTGCGGAAGCGCGGGAAGAGCGTGACGGTGACGGTCTTGGAGGCGCGCGCCGGCAGCGCTCCCTCGGGCTCGTCTACCCAGCACTCCAGACCGGCACTGGCGGGCGCCAGGGTGGCGGCGCTGTCGAGACCCGCTGTGAAGTCGCAGCTGGTGGCGTCGGGAGCCTGCGAAGTGGAAAGCGCATGATCAGGAACAGCGACCGTGCGACCCGCCCTTCCTTTGCTTCCCTCACTCCTAGCAGTAAAATACGTCAAGTGAGCCCTCCCCCTCCTCCACGGCTCTGCCCACAACTGCCCTTCCCCCTCCTCCTCCTCCTCCTCCTCCTCCCCTTTCTCACCGGCGTCTCATCATCCTCCCCAGGCGCCACCTCCAGGCTGTACCGCAGCACTCCGTCGCTCACGTTCTGCAGCACCAGCGTCCGCCGCACCGGGTGCCCCACCCGCAGGTTACCCAGCTCCAACGCAGGCGGGTCCAGAGCCACCGCGCCCTGAGTGCCCTCACCCACTACGCTAACCCACACGCCGTCGGCGTCCGAGGCAGCGGCGGCGGCGGCTTCACCGCCGCCACCGCCCCCGCCTACATCCATGGGCGACGAAACCACACACCCCACACGTCCTTCATACACCTTTTGCGCCGCGGGTGTGAAGGACCACATCAGCTGCACGGACTCGTTACCCCGCAGCGCGCCGCTAGCGGGGCTGACGGTGACGAGGCCGGCGAGGCGCGGCGGCAGGCGCCAGGTGTAGGCCACGGGCACGCGGCTGGGGTTGTGGAGGGTGATGGAGCGCTGGCTGGATGCGCCCACGCAGGTGGGGCGGAAGTAGAGGGTGGAGGAGGGGAGGTCGGTGGTGAGGCGGGGAGTGTGCGCGCAGCCGCGGAGCAGCACGGGCACGGCGTTGGAGGCGACGCCGTTGAAGGTGACCAGGGCGGTGGCGGCGACGGGGCGGGTGTCGGCGGGGCTGAAGCGCAGAGCAATCTGTGCAGGGGGTGGGAAAGGGGGCGCAAGGCTCTTCTAAAAGGCGGAAAAGTGGTTGAAAAAATGTTTACGTACATCGTCGGCAACCTTTGGTTGAGCCTTGCCACATGGTTATTTCATCCTCCCTCCCCCTTTCCTCAAACTGCTTCACTCTATTCCCATTGCTTTGCCCTAACCAGTGGTTCTGGGATATCTCTGACCCCTCCGCTCACCAGCACATGCCCCTTCGGCGGCACCACTCCCGACGCCGGCCGCACGCTGAACGCCGGCCCCAGCGCGCCCGGCGCTCCGAAGCTGAATGCCGCGGGGGTGTCCCCCGAGTTGGCTATGAGCAGCGTCTGGTGCACCCGCTCGCCCGGGCGGCAGGGCGGGAAGGACACGGAGCGGCTGGAGAGCTCCACCTGGCGAGGGGGAGGGTGGGAGGCGTTGATAAGGAGTACGTTGATAAGTGATAACCGCAGTGGACTTTGTACCGGTACCGGTACGGGTAACCCGTCATGTTCGCTCTTCACTCATTGTACTGCAGAGGCCATAAAAGGCGGCGGCTGCTCACACGTCATACCCCGACGCGCACCCCATGCACGCGTCATGGGTCATGTCTCGCCCTCCTCCTCCTCCTCCTCCCCCAGCAGCAGCAGCAGCAGCAGCATCACATGCACCCGCCGCACCTTGGGGCTGAACTCGGGGTTGCAGTGCAGGAAGGTGTTGCCGCTGGCGCGCAGCTGCACGGCCCAGGAGGGCAGCATCTGGTGCTCCGCGACCAACCTGGGGGGCGGGGGGGGACGGGTGGGAGGAGAGGAGAGAGAGGGCGGAAGAGGGGCGCGGAGGAAAGAGGGAGTGAGGGGCGGAAAAGATGGGAGAAGCAATGAGGCAAGGTACCGATACTACCAACGCTCTTCATACCGTGATACCAGATGTACCCCTCCCCACTCTCTTTCCTGCCTGCTTCTGCTCTCCCCTGGCCCCACCCCCCGCCTGCCCCCACCTGAAGTTCCTGTGGCTCTTCACGTGCGCCACTAGCACCAGCGTCTGGCTGAAGAAGGCGGCGTCACGCGGCGGCCGGAACGCCACCTTGAACACCGCCTGGCCCCGGGGCCGGATGTCCACACTCTCGGGGAACACCTGGGCGGGAGCGGAGGAGAGGGGGAGGGGGTGGGGGTGCATCCGGGGACATGCGGCATCATGGTCGCCATTGATGGGTGCCCGGTCTACGTCGCATCCTTCCCTGCACAACCTGAAAGGACCGGGACCTCAGTCGTAACATGGACCTCCAGCACAGCCCCCCACCGAGAGCTACCCGCTACTTCCCCTGCAGAGGCACCCGGGATGAGCGACCCCAGCATAGGGACCCCAGCAACAGCAGCAGCAGCAGCAAAGCAGAGGAAGCCAGCAACCGCCGTACCTGGAACACCGGCTTGGGCGCCTCCCCGGGCGGGGCCCCCGGATCCAGCCACTCCGGAACCACCACAAACGCCGTCAGCTTGGCTGCCGTGGTGTTGGTGACCGTCACACTTCGGTACTCGCACGCACTCAGTCGCGAGCAGGAACCAAAGTCCAGCGCCTCCGTGTCCACATCCACTGCACGCGCGGGGTCCTGGCCGCTAAACACCAACGACCAACCGTCGGGACCCAACAACCGACCGCCGGTGGGCTCGCTGCCGCTGGCGGCGGCGGCGTCGCCGCCGTCCGCGCCGTCGGCGGCTGCCGCCGCCAACGCCGCCTCCGTCAGCTCGGAGCCGTACAAATCGTACGCCGCTGAGGGCGGCGCGGAATCTAGCTGCGCTTCCTCAACTGGGGAGGCCCCAGAGGCCACCCGCGCTAGGTAGCGTTCTACATGGCGTTGCGCGAGGGGAGGCGGCCGGGACTTGTCTGAGAAGGCGGTTGCAATCAGGTCTACACCCTGCGGCTCGGAGTCTTTGAGCAGCAACGCCAGGCGACGCCAGTAGTTGGCGGCGACGGATGCGCGAAAGGTAATGGTCACGTGTGCCGTACTTTCCGGCGCCAGGACGCCGCGTACACGGCTGATGGAGAAGACGTCCAGCGGGTCGGTTTGGAAGTCGTACGGAACGGGTACGGCAGAGTGGTTTCGGATGTACAGCACTCGGGAGGAAGAGGAACCGACGGCTACGTTGCCAAAGTGGAAGGTACGTGCGGAGAGGGTGACGGTGGGCGCTACGGCAGTGCCGCGGAGGTTGAGGGAAACGGTGTTGCCGCCGGCGGTGCTGATGGTGAAGGTTTCGGAGCTGAAGGTACCCGTGCTCTTGGGCGTGTACGACAGCTTCAGCACGCTGTACTCCTCCGGGCCCAGCGTACCCCTGTAATGCATGGCAGGACGTGGCAGGGCAGGACGGGGCCATACAACGTTTGGCGGACGCTACGGTACTTAAGGAAACGAGATTGCGGCATGGCTTTCAATGGAAGAATGCTGATACTGACCTAGAACACGACCTAGCCCTCGTCCCATTCCACTGTCCCCATCCTCCTTCGCGGCTGTTTTGCGCGTGCAGCCTCCTTCCTCATCCTCCTCCCTCCCTATCCTCCCTCCCACCCGCCCCCCTCCCTGCTCACTTCATGGGCCCCACGCTGAACACACCGTCGTCCGGCCCCTCCGCATGCGCCACTCGGAAGTTGGCGGGCACCAGCGAGTGCGAGCCGAAGCGCACCACCCGCTCCGCGCGCTGACCCACCACCACGGGGCCAAAGTCCACACCGGGCTGCTCCAGGGAGAGGTACGGGAACTTGCCGATGCCGGAGATCTGGGGGAGCAGGGTAAGAGGTGATGGGTACGGAACATGGTAAAAAGACGGGTGTGGCATGCATGGCGCATGCGGGTGGGCGGATGGATCACGCCGTACCCCTTCCCGCCGTCCGACACCCCGCACCTAGTAATACACCCTCAACACCCACCCTCCTCTCTCCTCATGCGCCTCCCCAGCCCTCCCAGCTCCCCTCTCCGCACCTTGCATATCGCCGCCGCCCCCGACGCCAGCTCGCACGCCGCATGTGCCGTGTAGGAGCACGCCTCGGGCGGCGTGAAGGCCACCGCGAAGGACAGCGCCTCCCCCGGCCCCAGGCTGGCGCCGGGCGGCGTGATGACGAAGGGCGCCTCCAGCCGCCAGCTCACATCCACGCGCACGTCGCCCGTGTTGCGCACCAGCAGGGGCAGCGAGGCGGTCTCCTTGGCGGGCGTGAAGCCGAAATCCAGGGAGGAAGGGACCTGGGCGGGCGGGGTTCGGGTAGGAAGGTGGGACGGGGATGGGGAGGAGCAGAGCGCTGCGGAGGCACCGGGGGCTCGGCTTGGGCAGTTATCGGCCTTGTCCCGGCGGAAGGGGCTTTCCCTGGGCCTCCCGGACCTCCCGAACCACCCAGGGAGGTGTTCTCAGCCGCTCCCCCCACCTCAATGTGCGTCACGGGCGTGTACGCATGCACCGGCACCAGGAAGGAGGAGGAGCCCACCACCAGCTCCACCGCGTCCGAGTAGTGCTGCAGCTTCAGAGGCCGGAACACAACCTGGAGGCAGGGAGGGAGGGAGAGGGAGGGGAGGGGGAGGGAGATGGGAGGGAATGTGGAGCGGGAGGGTGGGAGGGAATGGGGATTGAGGGTCTTCAACATCTCCCTGTCCACAACCACCACCCTCAGGGCCACAACGGTACATCTGCGTACCCCATCCCAGCATGTAGAGTCACACCGTTCATATTGCCTAGCCCTACGGCGCTGGGATAGCCTCCGCAGCTAGCTGCTTCGGCGTGACATACCCCAACAGTACCACCCGGACAACCGCCACCAGCACAATGACCGCTGGCAGCTCCTACACCACAGCAGTACACCCCATGCACCCGTCGCAAGCATAACCGCATGGCTTCCGCCGCCCTTCTTAACCCCATGCAAGCTCGCCAGTGTCAGTGATGAGGGCAGCTGAGGCGTCTAGGTCATTACATGACAGTCCCACACGTGTCTGATACAGGCTGTCGTATGCCGTACTGGAGTGCTTAGCTGCAGTAAGCTGTGCCATGGCTTGGCAAGTATCCATCCCTACGACCCACCCTTGGGCGCTACCGTGCGAAATTAACTGGAATCCATTTGTCAGGCGGGCAGGCCCCTGTCGGGCCCCTGTTTGCATACCTTTAGGGGCTGGCTCATGCCAGGACGCAGCTTAAAGGGCTCCGGGAAGTCCATCGAGAAGGCTTTGCTGGTAGGCTGCTTGTAGCGCATCTTAAGGATGGACGTGCTGACATTCTTAACCACCAGCTGCTTGACGTACTCCGTTCCCGGGTTCCAGTGTCGCCATTCCAGCTGCTCTGGGCAGTCCAAGCCAAACCTGCAGGGAGTTCCAAAGCAAATGCTCGTGTGCGGGGAGGCACATGCTAGCACCTTGCGCGTTCGGCACCCGACATCCCGTGTGCCACATGCCATGGTAAGACGGCATAGACAGCTACCGTCGTGCATTGTTTGCAGGTTGTGTTACTGGGTGTTGTTCGTGGAGGACATACATGCTACTGGAGTGCCTATTAACACGGCACTTTGATGTGTCACACCAAGGGATGGGACGCGTTGTCCTTTGAAATCCTTGATCCATAATGTGCGTTATCTAGGTGTAACAATGGCGACTCACATTTGTTTGCGCTGTTCCCTTGAAAGTACGCCATAGCTTGTGACCGGACTGCCCGACGCCTGCTGGTCAAGGCCATTCGCAGGCATCTTACCTAACGCAAAGTAATGAAGGTATTTCTGCCTTGTTGCTCAAGCAAAGCTTTATTTGCAAATCTAATTGTTGCGCTTCGCATTTGTATCTTGGGGTGTCATAGTTAAAGGCAATGAACTTAACATAGTTCTGCAGCGTCTGATGTTCCTAATATTTGCTATATAGTGTTTTTTTTCGGCCAGGAGCGATGTTGGTCTCCTCGAAGTCGACATCGTCGTACACCAGCTGACTGTTAGCCCACAGCATCAGTCCAGCAAGCACCTTAGTGTTTAAGTTGGCTCTAATCTCTTATCAATGCTGGTACTGTTACGCACGCGATCTCGCGGTCCAGAAGCACGTTCCGTGTAGAAGGAGTGCATGTGCCTACCTTGCACATTGGCAAGGGTTGTGCAGATGGCACGCGTAATCCATGTTCATTTTGGCTGCATTTCCCTTACAGGTGCAATGCTCTAGATGTGCAGGACGCAGCAGAGCTTTAGCGGCCAGGCACGGTAGAGGACACCGCAGTTAACATTCACCTCGGTGAACACCAGCATGCACCTTGAAGTATAGGCCACAGCGTTATCCTTATTTCCTAACAGCGCTATTACCATCACAGCCGGCATACAGGCATGTTGAGACTGTGGTGCAACACTTAGGGAGACGGGGGGGTGGGTGGGGAATAACAAAGGAGGTAGCGTACTTGACTCGCTTCGGGAAGCGACAACAAACGGGATACATGCGTTATGGGTATGCCTGGATGGGTTTATGACCTTAGACCGACCTTCAACGTGTCCCCGAGTACCAAGAGAAGGCTGGCGTGCTACGCACGTTCAGTTCGAGCACGAAACGGAGACGCCGCACAAAGATCATAAGGAACTCTTTATGTATGTGGTAGAGTACGCGTTACGCATTCAACCGGTACGCTTTCCTTTCGTCCGTTTGAGCTCCGCAGTTCCTTGCCATTCCAACCGAGGACTATGTTTCGACCACCTTCACCGAACATTTCCATAACTGGAGCTATAAAGAAGCATGATGCGTGCAATAGTATGCGGGCGGGGCCATGCAAGGCGTTCGCGGCCTTCGCGCGTACGCAGAAATGTACGACGTCTTCTGAAAGTTTCCATTGTTCATCCGAGCGTGGATGCCCACAGATAGCTTGCAGAAAGGTTAGGCTCTATGTACCCTAGATCTCTTAAGCAGTCCTACGCAAACTTCTCAAGGAGTAGACTGCACGCCATGTAGCGTCTTGTTGACAATGACGGGGGAATCGCATGCTGCCAAGGGGCAGCAAGGCGGAAACCAGGGCCAGCCTGCTCCTTTTTTACGCAAAACGTGAGCAACAACGTGCGCATTTTGGCTACGATATCGGAATCCTGTGCGCGGTGGAGCTTCCCTGAGCAAATCGCTTGCTTGCCTGTGCAGATACGAGCTTGTTGACGATCCATCAACAAATAATGTAATCTCATGGGGACCGCATGGAAAAAGGTGCGCATCGTCTTTCCTTGCATAGGCATTCCCGCTAGCAGCGAGGAAGGCTTGCGCCCCACTTCACCCGGCACCTCGACTTCTTATTTGCAACGTCCTTGTGGGCTGGTGAAGTGTGAATTGCTGCAAGCTTGCCTTATTACAACTACTTCTGACGGTGCAGTTTTATCGTCTGGAAGCCTAGCGAGTTCGCCGCGAATCTCCTACCACTCTACTTCAAGCACAACAATTTTTCTTCGTTTGTGCGGCAGTTGAATACGTATGTAAGTATTGATTGCGCTGCCCATGCACGCGTTTGCAGATCTTCGCACATGGTTCCAATTACTTGCCGTTCTCCAAAGCGCGCACGTGGCCACCAGCCAAGGAATTGCCAGAAGCTCATAGTAGTCCTACGCATGCCCTTGCTGAAACGCTCTATTGCTTGCAGGGCTTTCGCAAGGTGGATCCCGACCGCTGGGAGTTTGCGAACGAGCACTTCCAGCAGCACAACAAAGACCTACTCCTCACCATCCATCGTCGCAAGCCCGCATCCAACAATGCCGCTTCCGCAGCAGCCGCTAATGGCAGCAACAGCGCTGTGGCTGGCACCTCCCAGCAGATCCAACAACCGCAAGCGCCCCCACCCTCCCAACCATACCAACCGCCATCGTCCCTCGAAGCTGCAGCCCTGGCCATGCCTCCCGGGCCCCCTGCCGTCGCAGCATCGTTGCCGATACCCATCCCCGCTCCAATCCAAGCAGTTGGGCCCGGGCCTCTGTCAGGGGCTGGAGGGCCCGCTCCGCAGGGGCCGCCATTTTCCCTTTCCCCGCCCTTCCCGCTAGACCTCGGCATTGCAGCCACGCTTCCCCTGTTCACTGCACCCTCCGCAGCCGGCCCCCCTGGGGTCGGATCCTTTCCGCCGCCGCCTCTGCAGCTCCCGCCGCAAGTGGGCCCTATGTTGGCCGCCGCAGGCGGGCCCAATATGGCTCAACCCATGGCGCCCTCGCCGGGAAGTGCCTTCTCCCGACCGCTACCGCCAGGCCTGGTGATGAAGGCCGAGATTCCACCGCACCTGGCGACGACGGCGCCGCTGGGCCCAATAGTTGCACCTGGAGCAGCGGCCGCTGCAGCGGCGGCGGCCGCCAGACCTCCAGGCGGCGCCGCCGCTGCCTCCGGTGTCGCAGGCGGGTCCTCCTCCTCCTCGGCAGTTAACCGTCTGGAGCAGCTCGTGGAGGACTACCTGAAGCCTGGGCAGCAGATGCTGGCAGCGCTGACGCAGCAACCGCCACCTCCGCCGGGTGCGGCGCGGGAGGCGGCGTCAGCCGACGCCACTCGCGGTAACGGCGCCGGCAGTAGCAGCATGAACGGAAGCGGCGGCAGCGGCGACGTCGCTGGGGGCGGTGGTAACGGCATGCAACAGCAACAGCAACAACCACCACAACCGCGCAGCAGCAACAGTCAGAGCTCCAACAGCGCTCCCTCGGCATCCTCGTCAGACCCGCGATGCAACGACCCCATGGCCGCGGATGCTGATTTCGGCGGCGCGGCAGCCGCCCCTCCCACCAGCAGTGGCGGAGGCGCCAAGGCCCTGAAACGCAGCCGCGTGGACATGTACGGTCACGGATCCGAAACCGCCGTCACCGCTGCTGCTGCTGCTGCCCCTGCTCCTGTTCCTATTGCCGGGACAGCACCCGCGGCAGCTGCCACCCCTGCGGCTCCTCCTCCTCCTCCTCCTCCTCCGGGAGCAACAGCGAGCTATGGCTGTAGCCCCCCGCCCGCCACCACCAACCTCACCAGCTACGATGCTCATGGCAACCCGCTGCCTGCCGGCATCACCCGACCGCTACCGCAGCACCTGGGCGGAACCACTGCGGCGCTGCTGAGTGAGATGGCGGGGCAGCTGGGTCGCCTCAGCGCACTGGCGAGGGAGGTGGAGGGGTTGAAGGAGGAGAACACGGCGCTTAAGAGGTCCATGCAGGCCCTCACGCAGGCATACGGCGGTGCACGGATGCAAGGAGGAGGAGGGGGAGGGGGAGCGGGTGGTGGTGGCGGCAGCATGGAGGGTGGTGGCATGATGGGTTCGGCTATGACGGAGCGGGCGGCTAGTGGGGGTATTGCGACGAGCGAGGGTGCGGTGGCTGCCGCCGCCGCCGCTGGCGGCGGCGGCGGAGTGGGTAGCAGCAGCGGAGGTAGTGGAGGTACGGCGGTGCAACAGGAGGGCGTCAGCGGCGGCGGCGCCGCGGCAACAGCAGCAGCAGCGAGTGGCGGAGGCGCCACCGGTGGTGGTAGTGGTAGTGGTGGTGGTGGTGTCGTACTTGCAGCGGGCGGGGGTGGCTCCATGTTGCCGCTGACGCAGGCGGTGGAGGCGCAGCAGAAGCGGCTGTGGGACCAGAAGCTGCGTCATGACGACCTGGAGAAGCAGGTACGACTGCCGGCACCGCTCGTACCGCAGCTGTTTTGGAGTTGTGTTAGTTACCGGTATCGCGTCGCTTGCTAGTCACAAATTCTCATCCTTGAGACCTCCTCTCCTAAGCCCACCTTTCCCCCCCCACCGCCCGCTCTTTCCCCACCCCCCTTCTCCCAGCTCCTAGCCCAGCGCCAGGTGGCTGCCCAGCAGGCCGCCAAGACCGCAGCGCTGGAGGCCGCACTGGCCGCCAACACGGCCAAGGCGGTGCACGACACGGCGCTGCTGGGGCGGGTGCTGGAGCAGCGGGTCAGCGCGCAGAGCGAGGTGGTGGCGGGCAGGCTGGCGGCGCAGGTGGGGAGGAGGGGAGGGGACGGGTAAAACGTAAAACAGAGGGGGTGCTGGCCCTGCCTTGGTCGCTGTCTAGCTGGGAATCCTTCTGCTTTACCCCGGTAACTCGCTCTGGCCCATGCTGAACTCCTGCTGGCGCTGGTGGTGGTGCTGCTGGTGTGCTGCCGGCCACAGGAGCGAGCAAACAAGGCCACTCAGGACATCAACACGCGGCTGGAGGCGCGGGTGGCGGAGCTGGAGGCGCAGCTGAAAGGTGGGCGCGGGGGAGGTGGGAAGGCTGGAGGCGCGGGTGGGGTGGGGGGGGGAGGTGCAGAAGAGGGCGACTGAGAGCGGTGAGGTTCGGAGGTGAGATGCGGTGATGCGGGCTGTGGTTTGGCCGACCTGGCGCTCTAGGGCACGCCAGGGATTGCCTTGCCTCACACGGGGCAATACCAGCTCATGTGTATTTCGTCCGCTTGTCGCACTCCCAGTGCACCCCACCCGGCGCCTTGACACTCGTCCATGCGTGCCCACGTACAACCCCAACTCGTCGCTCGCGCAAGCAAGCCCGGGGCCACCCCGCCCTGCCATATCCTGCCTACCACCCCGCCCTACCATGCCCTGCCTGTCTGCCTGCCACGTATGCAAACATGCCAATTTAGAAACCTACGTCTTGCTGCTGCGGGACTAGGAACACAAGGGCACGAAACCGTCTGAATGAAAAGTCCAGGTTGGTAAGGGAAACGACTACGTAGGCCATCCCAGCATGCCGGATCTGTCGTTCGGACAGACCCATGGGCCCAAGCCGCCGAATGTAAACGGCAGGCGGCGGCCCCTCCCTCGTCGTGTCGAACCCTGCGCCCTCTTTCGCTGTGCCGCCGCCCATCTCAATGTTCACCTGCCGCAGCGCTGGGCCAGGACACTAGTCCGGGCACAGCAGCCGCGGGGTCAAGCCAGTTGCCTGCTGCTGGGTTGGTTACCGGTAATCCCAACCACCTCAGCAGCCATCCCAGCAACCACCACAACCACCAACCACCCCTGGCATGGACCGGCGCAGCGGCATTGGGCTCGGGAGCTCTGCAAGGGAGGCACCAGGCGGCGACGACTGCTATGGCGGCGACGACGACGGCGACGGCGACTACGACGTTGGAACCCCAACTCCAGGCGCCCACGACCCATGGGTCACTTCCGGCAGCGGCGACGGCGACGGCGCCAGCCACCGGCCTGGCGTGTTCACCACCTGGCGGTACGACCGGCGCTGCTGCTGCCATGCCGTACCTCCAGCAACAACACCGTCGCCCTTCTGCGGCGGCAGGCGGCGGTGGTAGCGGCAGCGGTGGCGGTGGCTCGCTGATTCCCGCAACGCTTTCTCCAGAGGCGGACCTCTACGCGAAGTCTATAGAGGACCGGCTGTGGGGCACCGTGGAGCAAATCGTAAGCAGCGCGCACGACCCTGCGGATGGTGCAAGGTGGGTGCAACGGACACTCGGTTGACAGAGGAGGCGGGTGTCTGCAACTACGCATGCAACAGCAAATGCAGCATCGGCATTCCGCCGCTGTTCGTCTGCGTGAACTTTGGTTGATGGTGGTAACTGGTAGGGTGTGACACCGGAAGTGGACAGGCGTTATGTCTTCCTCCGTAGCCAAGCCCTAATGTGTTTTGCTTGTTGTCTCCATTTCCGTTGCTTCCAGGCTTGTACTCCAAGTCGCAAAGGCCAGACACCACGCCTATGCTGCGGCTGCAGCCGCCGCCAGCTCCAGCGGCGCCGAAACCGGCAGCAGCGGAGGCAACATCAACCCCAATGCTGCTGGCGGCGTCGACCAGAAGAGCAACGGCGGAAGCGGCGCGAGCGACAGCAACACTCCCGGCGTCAGCGGCACCAATGCTTCCTCTGGCGGCGGCGGTGGCGACGGCGCAGCATGCGCAGCGCCGACAGCGCTTGGCACTTCGGGTGCAGCTGAGGGCAGCGGATCCTGCCCGCCACCTCCGCTAGCGGCGGCTACCCCGCGTGCTGCAACGCTTCCCGATGTGGCCGGTGTTGCTGTGGAGGAGCTGACCAGCGTTTCGGTGGATGTGGCATCTGTCGGCTTGCAAGCACGTGGCCCTCAGCAGCAAACACACCACCACCACGACACGCGCGGGGGTCTGCATGCGCAGCGCAACAGCAGCAGCAACCGCCAGTCCTGCCATGCGGCACCGGGGCACCTCCCACCAGCCGCGGCAGCAGGAGCAGCGGTCGTGCCGGCAGAGGGCACCGCATGCATTGCAGACAGCTGCGCCCGGGGCCATTATCCGCACGAGGCGCCGCATGTTGCCAAGGAAACGGCGATGGGGACGGAGACGCAGGACTGCTTGGAGCGCTGCGAGGAGGGTTTTGCGACGGCGGCAGCAGCAACGGCCAACGCCACCGACCTTATGGATACGGATGGATGATGGGCATAGCTGCCACTGGCTGCAATAACTGCGGCTTGCGGTGCACATAACCTGAAAGCCCTGCAGGGTTACGTGTAGCTAACCGCACGCATGCAGGAAGGCGACGGTGCTTCCGAATGAGGCATGCGTGTGTGAAAGCTCCAGCTTCTCTTCTTTTCTGGCTGGGAAAGCTTGCCCGCTGTGAAAGCATGCTGAAGGAGGCACATGGGGCCGCTGAGAGGCAGTGAGAAGCACTAGAACCGCTGTTAAAAGGCAAAGTGTGCCGGTTAATAACGTTCACGTTGCTGTGGGGTTGCAGATCGTTTCGTAGGTTGCGGCTAGTTTGGCCGTTGGGTGTTTGGGTTGTGTGGTGTTTGGTGTACGGGGTTGGTTAGGGTTTTTCCTGGTTGTGTTGAGGCCTAATCAATTGTTCGGACGGTTTGCGTTCGGTAGTGTGAACCCATGTGTTTTGTCGCGTGTGCCCTGCTTATGTGTGCGGGATTAGGTGTGTTTTTGGAAGGTAAGTTTTGTGTTACGCTGTGTCTGGGCTATGCTTCCTTGTTGGCCGTTTCTTCCAACTGTCCACCGTTAACACGACGTATGGGCTGGTCTGGTGTTCGGGTTCGCGTGCCATCATGGAAGTTGTTGTGGCAGTTTATTTTTGCGCAGCAGATGATGGGTTAAGTCCATGTCCGAGTAGCTTGAATGCATGGCTGGCAGCAGTGTGCCATGTCATGTGGTGTGAATGGGGCACTCTGACCTTGCGGGTTACGTATTTTGTGAAGGGAGCCCACGTCCTTTCGGTAATCGATGGGAGAGCCGCAGCCAGGTGGATAGAGAGAGAAACACCAAAAGGAGTCTAATCCTTTTTCCTTTTCCTCTTCAGTGTGTGTTTAGGTTTGAAAAGGTCCATTTCATGATTTTATTTTGCAGGGAACGGGTGCATGCCGAACGGTTACCTAAAGGGAGGTCATCAGCTGAGCATCGTGGCGGAAGGGTGGATAGGGTATTAACTGAGCAGGGTGTTTCGCAACTTGGTTGCGACTTGTGCCCCGTGTTGTTGTCTCCCTACCTACCACTCAGCATCTCAGCTGCCGTTTCCACTTTTGCACCGTTCATCTTTACGGCGTGTTTCGTATACACAGAGAGGGGATCTGTAGTGTGTTGTGTGTCCGGGCGTGCGCTCGTGTTGAGTATATGCCGCCGCCAGTCCAACCGCGCATGGGGTTCCTTATCACCCTTGGCACCGGGGAGGCAATCCTCGAAACCCCGGCATGCATGTGTGCATCAGGTTCAGGAGCCTACTGATAGTTTTGGGGAACATGGGCGCGAACATGTAACGTGCAGGCTTGTAACTAAATCCATGAAGAGGTTGTCTGCTGCAGAGAGGAATTAGTACCGCTAGCAGGGCGCCGTGCCTGTGTTGCAGACGGTCTGCAACGCCCCTATGCAGCCTTTGGGCTGCGGCCCGCTGCCTGTGTGGCATGTGCTGAGCTGGAGCGAGCCCCCTGCTGCCATGTCATGCATGTTCCATGCCCCGCGCGGCCAACAATCCTCGCTGCGCATGCCAACACTCCCTCCTTCCGCTTCCGGAAACCGAACCCAAATGCAAGACCCCATTGCAGCAGCCTTGCAAAGATGCCAGGGCGAGGTCTCCTCATTTCCCGAAGCCCTCCTCATTTCCCGAAGCAACCAAAACTGCACAGATTGCCAGTCCGCCACAACGCCCTGCCCTCAAAACACCTCCCAACTGTTCCATCCGAGAGGCGTCGCCTTTCACCCCCTCCCCCCTATCCTCCTCCGCCTCCTCCTCCATTCAACTACATCCACATTCCTCCTCCCCCTCCACCTCCTCCTCACACAGCCGCCGACCTCCTCGCCACCGTCCTCCGCCTCCTGCTCCCCACCACCCCCGCCCCCGCCTCCGCCCCCCCAACCGACGGCGCCCCCAGCTTCTTCACCATGTACGGCCCCTCCAGCTCGTACCCCAGCTTGCGGTAGTAGTGGCGGGTGCCCACCCCGCTGATCACCGCGATCTTGGTGCTGCGGTGCTCGTTGCGGGCGATGCGCTCCGCCTCCGCCATCAGCAGGCTGCCGTAGCCCTGAGGGGCAGGGGGCGGAGGAAGGGGCGGAGGAGGGCAGTCAGAGAGATGGAGGGGGAGAGAAGGTTAGGTTAGGTTAGGTCATGGAGGGAGGCGGCACGCGTTACGGAAGGTACGGGAGTATCTTTGGCAAAAGCTCTAGGAGGTAGGACCCTTCCACGGCAAAACACAGGCGACGTACCAAAGGGCAAAACACACACACATACGTTTCGCCTCGCGGCCAGTTATCTTAACACACATACCACCCACCACCACCCACACCCACACCCCACCTGGTGTTGGTGGTTGTTGGCGTCCCGTGCGTGTACGGCCACCGCGGTGCCGTACACATGCAGCTCCCGCACCATGGACACGGCGCCGGTCAGCTGCGGCTGGCGGCTGGAGTCGGGGCCTGGAGGGGGAGGGGTGAAGAGGGGGGGGGAGGGAGGGGAGTTGGGAGGGGGGAGGGAGGTGAGTTGGGAAGGGAAGGCAGGGGGAGAGGAAGGCACGCCACCCCATGCACGAGGATCCCCGTTTATCTGGTGACTTTCCCGCGGTACACGATACACACACACACGACACGCCACCGTCCTACCTGCCAGCTTACGCAGTCGCAGCAAGCCAACCAGGATATCCTGCGCAGGGGCGGTCCAGGTACGTCAGGAGGTTGGACAGAGTGAGGGGGAAGAAGAAGGGAACCGGTAAACGTAAGCACAGGATCAGTGTACCGTACCTGGAGGACCTGCAGCAACCTCTAGCAAACACACTCCTCCCTCCTTCATGTCCCTACCTCCCATGTCTCCCCTCCTTCCCCGCCCCCTCCTCTCCCCCCTCCCCCCACCTGGCTGGGGTCCTCGTACGCCAGGAACGTCTCCCAGCCCCCGTTGGCCGCATAGTCCCGCCGTACCAGCTCCACCTGCTGCGGCCGCACCGCCCCGCCGCCGTGCAGCTCCTGGATGCCCACCTCGCGGGTGCGCACGTCCCTGGGGGGGGGGAGGGGGAGGGGAAAAAAAGAAATTCCAAAGTGGGGAGGGGGAGGGGGAAGAGGAGGAGGAGGAGGAAGACAAAGAGGTACAGGGGAAAGAGGCTAAAAGAGGGTGAGCGGTGGGGGTGTGGACATGCTTCCCGGTGCTTGTGTTCCCCCCCCCCCACCCCACTCCCTGCTCCCCCCCTCCTTAGTTGAACTGTGTTGCCCCCTCACTTCTTGACCTCCCGCTCCCCCTCCCTTCCCGCTCCCGCTCCCACTCCCCGCACCACCACCACCCCTTCCTCTCACCTGCACCTCAGCCCCAGTGCCGCCATGCGAGCCAGCGCCAGCTCCCGCAGATTGCCCTTCTCCACCCCCGCCGTCACCAGCGGCATGGGGATGTCCCGCTGGATGCGGTACACGCGGACCTGACAGAAGGGGAGGGGGTGAGGGGTTGAGGGGGGGATGGGAGTTGGGTTGGGCATGGGGTTAGGGTAGCGGCAGCAGGATGGGATGGAGTGCTGGCACTGCTGGTTGTTGGGTTTCGTGGGCGGGGGGGGGGTTCCTTCCCTCTCCTTGCCTTCTGCATGCTCCTTTCCCCACTCCTTCGCTTGCCATGGCCCCCTCCTCCTCACGACCCATGCCCTTTTCGTCCTCTCCCTCCTCCTCCCTCACCCAGGGCGGCACCAGCGCCAGCACGCGAGCTACCAGGTCCACCAGCCTGAAGGGGGGAAGGGCGGGGCAAGGGGGGAGGGAGGGAGGGAAGTGGGAGGAGTGCGTGGTGCGTGGTGGGTGGCCGGATCCAGCAGTACGAGACTGCATCATCGGAACGTAAGGTGTAGTCGTACAGGCGCGCAAAAAGGTGCCGTACAGGGTACAGTTCTGTCGTACACACCTGTCGGGCGGGTAGTTGCGGTACAGTCCTCGCTTCCAGAGCTCGTACAGTCCCGTACCTTGAGCAGCAGGGTGGAGGGAGGATGGGGGGATTAGAGGAGGAAGAGGAGCAGGAGAAGAGGCAGGGGTAAGGAGGAACGAGGGCAGGGACCGATACCACAAGACGTATCGCAGCACGCGATGCCGGGCATGAAGTACAAGGAACATCACGCAAAGACAACAACGCATTAAGGCATTATGGAACTGAAACCGAGAAGAAAGCAGGTCCGCGTAGACACAAATCCAAACACAGCACGTTCCGACTCGCGGCCAGTCCTCTCAACACACATCCCTGCCACCCCTGCCACCCCTATCCACCGCTATGCCCCCCCCCACCTCGAATGACCAGTGTGGGGTAGAGCTTGAGTCCGTCCGTTCGGAAGTCCGGGTTTTCGAAGAACTCTCTGAAGCACTCGATGTCTCGCTCCCAGCCCACCCCGGGCAGGTCGGGCATCATGTGGACTACAACCTGGCAGTATAAGGGGGGGAGGGGCAGGGAGGGAGGGGACATGGAGGGAAAATTGGCAAAATACCTCATACCGTGCCCCACTCCCCGCGCCCCCTCTTCTGCCCTCACCCTCTCTCCCGCCCCCTTTCCTTCTCCCCCGCCTCCAACCCTATCTCTTCCCAACCCGAACTGCACCACCTCCCCTCCCCTCCCCTCCCACCCCATCCCACACATTCAGTTTAGTTGTCTCCTCTTTACCCCCCTCCCCTCCCCCCTCCCCTCCCCCCTCCCCTCCTCACCTTGAACCCCGCATCCTTGGCCCCCTCGAAGCACCCCTTCACCGCCTCAATCGTGTGCCCCCGGTTGGTGTCCCGCGCCACGTCCTCGTAGATGCTCTGCAGCCCCAGCTCCAATCGGGTGCAGCCGTACGACAGCATGTCGGCCAGGTGGGGGCGCGCGCAGTAGTCGGGGCGCGTCTCGATGGTGAGGCCGATGCACTTGGTGCGGCTCTCCTCGCTGTAGCGGACAGCCTGTTGGGAGGCGGAGGAGGGAGGGGGGAGGAGGGAGGGAGGGAGGGAGGGAGGGAGGGAGAGGGAAAAGGATAAGGAAACTAACGACGAACTGTATGACGAGGGCTTCACCATGGGTTGCTGATTGAACCCGGCCCATCCCACCCCACCCAAAGTAGTCAAAGCCAAAACAACAAATGGGGGAGGGAGGCGGGAGAGGGAGGGGAAGGGACAAAGGAGGAGGGGTAACCGAGGCGCGCCTCTCATGCAGGCCGCACTTGTAACGCATCGCCCAGCCCCCATGCGCCCCCCACTACACGCCACCCAACCTCCCTTTCCCCTCCCCTTTCCTCACCTCCCCCACGCAGCTGCTTGCATGCCCCGACAGCGCGTCGTGCAGGTTGCGCACGAAGAAGTCCCGGTAGTCGGGCGGCAGCGACATGAAGGTGCCGCCCATCAGGATGTACTCAACCTGGGGGGGGGAGGGAGGGGGAGGGGAGTGTACGACATACACAGGGGATCAGTAAGAGGTGGATGCTCTGCACACGCACACAAGCTGGCCTTCAGGATTGCATGCAGTCAGGTATGTTGGGTTGGAAGGGGGGCGGAGGGGGGAGGGGAATGTACGGCACATGCTGTACGATGGAAGAGAAGGCTTGGAGGGTGTACTGTGTACGGCAAGAAGGGAGAGGGGGTGTTCCTTTTGTACCTTGTTACCGTATCAGCCGCTCCCCATTGTCTAGCGATACCATCCTATCGTCACTCATCTCCGCCCCCCCCCCCCACCTTGTCCACCACATGCCCCAGCTTGCGCAGCTGGTCCACTCGCCCTCGGGCCTGCGGGGTGGGAGGCGGGGAGAGGAGGCAGGTGGGGGGACAGGCGGGGAGGCAGGGGGGGAGAGGGAGGCAGGCAGGCAAGCGGGTGGGCGGGAGGTGGGAAAGGAGTGCGCCAAAGAGGAGCCTGATGCGGGTTGGTCAGCGCGTGGGCAAATGAGGCGGAGATGTAGGACAGGAAGGGGATCCTTTGGCGCCGAGCGAGCACGGACCACCCAATCACACATGCCGTACTACAACCCACCATGTCGTACACCGCATCTCTGCCGTACCTGCACGTACGGGTCGTACCGCGCCCTGATGGCCCGCATGGAGGTGGGTTCGTACCCCGTGTAGCTCTGGGTGGAGTACTCGAAGTCGCTGTCGGGGCCTGAGGGGGTGGGGTGGGGTAGGGGGTAGGGGGGTTGAGTGTATTGGCACGCGTTTCAGGTACCTCATTCATTGTCCTTTACTTCCCCGTCCCTGTCTTCCACCATGCACCCTCCGTCCCTGTCTTCCACCATGCACCCTCCGTCCTACAGCTCCCTACGGTGCCCCTCCCCGAACCCTCACCCCTCCCCGCCCACCTGCTATGGTCCGGTACGGTCTTTTGACTCCCTACCCTTCCCCCCCCATGTTTGACACCTTATCACTCAGTCAGTTAGTTGTTTCCTCTTCCCGCCCTTTTCATCCCCCGCCCACCTCCCGGGCAGTAGATGCAGATGTTGCCGGTGGTGGCGATGTGCGGGCAGCGGTGCGGCTTGGACATCACTGCCACCACCGCGATACCTGGGGCGGGAGGGGCGGGTGGGAGGCGGCGAGGTGGGGGGGGGGGGTTGAGGAAACTGGCCGCGAGTAGGAACGTACGGTGATTGCGGTGTGTTAAGGAAACTGGCCACGAGTAGTGTGTGTGGGGGGGGGAGGGGACATAAGATAAACTGAGCCGGGAAAGAGGGACAACCATGCGTGGGAGGGAGGGCGAGGTACATGGCATGTGCCATCACCAGTCAAATGTACAACCAGGCATGTGCCACCTGCTGGATGGGCGCCTTCCCACCCTCTGCCTCACGGAGCTTCCCAGCCGCAGCCCCCTCCCCGCCTTATCACACGGCTCGTTAGTTATCCCCTCTTCCCTCCCCCCCCCCCCCCCGCACCTGACGCCGTGCGCACGGGCTTGGCTCGCAGCCGCGGCAGCAGCGCCGCCCGGTGCTCCTGGGGGAGGGGAGGGGAGAAGGAGAGGAAAGCGGGAGGGGGATGGAGGGGCGGGTGAGGAAGGCGGTTAGGTGTACCCAAGCTGCATGTCCCAAGCCCAGCCAATGAGCCAACTGGGGGAGAGGAAGAGATGCGCAGCTCGTCTCGTGCTCCGAAACACCATTCCCACCCACCCACCCACTCCTGGTCTCCGCACCCACCCACCTCGGGCAGCGCGGCGATGACCTCCACCAGCTTGGGCGAGCGAGCCAGGCGGTAGCGCCGACTCACCTGCAGGGGGGGAGGGAGGCGGGAGCAGGAGGAGAGGTTGGGGCGGAAGGAGAGGGCGAGGGGGGAGACGGGGTATGCGTGTGAGGTGGGGCGGTCAGGTACGGGCTGTGCTGCTATATCCCAGGGCCGGACAGGCGGCGGCATGAGCCGTCTGCGCTACGCTGGCTACACCACCACCACCCCTCCGCTAACAACAGAGACAAAAACAGCAACATGCGGCCTTGCCATCAGGATTAAAGGAGTACGGAGGCCCTCACCTCGCACTTGAGCGCGTTCAGGTCCACATCGCGCCCCTCCCGCACCCCCGACACCAGCAACGACACCAGCTCCGCAATGGCCCGCACGCGCGCCTCGTCGGGGCTCATGGTCGCCATGCCGGAGGCAGCGGCGCTAGAGGAAGTTGTGAGACGGAGGTGGAGGAGGATGGGGTGGGGTGGGGAAGGAAAAGTGGGGGGATTGGTTGGGTGGTTGTGGCCGCATTTAGGGAGCGGCGAGGTAAGGGTTGGGGATGTGGTGCTTTGCGATTGGGAGTTGCGTGAAGGGGTAGGGAGAAACTGGATGCGCGTTGGAAAGCTGCGCGCGAAGACTTACCCGGAAGAGGAGGACAGTTCAGGCGTGGCCATGGCGCGCCAAACGCGAGGCCTCGGATGGGCGAGATTGGGCGGCTGAGGTCGATTGACGTCGCGAAGCGACGCCTCCGTTTAGCGCCTCTTCAAGTGTCTATTTATGCTACGCAAGGGAAATGACCTAGTTATTCCTTCTCCTCTATGAAAGGGCCAGCTTGCGGTTCTAGCCAGGGGCAGTTAGAGCTCGCCCGGAATTAAGCACAGGTGTATCATGTCATGTTCATATGCTAAAATGAATAACTACCAGTATCGTAAAGCAGCGAGGAAGGAGTGAAGGCCTGCGATGGCTTAGCCGTGCGAGTTGGTCAGAAGGCAAGCTTTTTGTGTCACCTAAAATAGCAATTGCATTCAGGTGCCGTCAACGCTGCGACAGCGGTAACCAGGGCCAACAGAAGTCCTACCGCAGCACGCATAGCGCGGCCGTATCCAGTGTACGACCCTATCGTCACCTCCAAGCCTGATCCAGCTGTGCATGTTTCCTGCTACGTTCTTTGCGAAAGAGGAAAGGGATTGCTACCCCATCTTGGCACCCAGCAGAGCAGTTGGTGCAGTACGGTTGGAATTGAAGCGCGGGAACCAACGGCGTGACAGCTGCACAGGGGCTGCTGGTTGTGGAGCCCACACCTGCACTTGTAATTTATATACTGTATTGAACACTTAACCTTCTCATCAGCGCTTTTGCCTCGCCCACCGACTCGGCTAGCCGAGGAGTATCTTGGTTACAAACAACTAGGACATCGCACATGTAGGAAGCATAAAAGCTAACACTGGTATTGTTATAGGGCTCAAGAGTTCGTGGAGGAATAGTTTAATCTTCTGCAGCGCTGACAAATAGGACGTCAGTTTTAAGCGAGCGCTTCTGAGTAGGCGCTGCTGCGGAGACTTCCAGTGGGAGATGACCTACTATATACAAGCAGTGCAGGAAGTTGCGCAGCGCTGGCCTGGTCGCGAATCACAGGTGCGTTGGGATGCCTTTGCTTCGATGGAAGCGCCGGTGCACTGCTTGCATCAGTTCCCCGCTGAGCGCTCCTTAAGCATGCTAACCCAATTTCGATGTGCACCCAGGTCGCAGCTCTGCATAGCTGGCTATCAGGGCGTATCGGAACCCATGTCATCGTGCACGGGCCACCCGGGACAGGGAAGACTGGCGTCGTCCGGTGGGTTTCCCTGTTATAACCAACCCTGCAGCAACTTGAGACGCCGCAACCTTGCAACCACGATAGTCGAGGCACTGGTTGCTTGCTTGGATGCTTGCCCTTCTATGCTGATGGCTTCCATTACGACATTGGCCGCAGACATTGCCTGGAGGCCTGGGGCCACCGCTTCGCATACATGACGATGCCGCAGGTAGGGCAGCGAACAACTGCTGTGCCCCGTACTTGCGCTTATGTATGCACCATGCCTTTTTCTGTTGCCTCCAATTCTGCCTTCTAACCCTTGTCCTCCACTCTTGTCCTGCCTTCCCTCCCTAGGAGTACAAGCTGCGCCAGTTCTTCAACGCGGTTCTATCCCAGCTGTGGGGCCACGCAGGACTCAAACGAAAGCGCGAGGCGGGTTTTGGAGCCACTGCGGGAGCGGACAGCTGGAACGACTTTGGGGAGCAGCTGGCGGGTACGGGATGAGGCTGCTGTAAGGGGGGTCTAAGGCTACCGGTATGTAGTTACTGTGTCCTACCGCGCGTTAAGGAGTCCTTTTCTGTGGCATGACGTCTTCTTCCACATCCCCCCCTCTCCTCCTCATACCAACATCTCCACATCTCACCACCACCATCACCACCCTCTCTCCCGCTGCCCCCTCCCCTCTGCCCGCCCCTCCCTCCCCTGCAGTCATCTGCCCGCCCTGCTCCCCCCGCTGCTCGGTGCTGGTGCTGGACAACCTGGAGTGGGGGGCGCACAAGAACATGCTGCCGCAGCTACTGGCGGCGATTAAGGTGAGGAGGACAAGGGGGGAGGAGTGGAACAACATAAGACACCAAATGCCCCCCCCTGCCTTCAGCCTTTTGTTTCATTTGGCACCACGTTCCCGTTCACGGTCACCAACGCCACCCTCCTTCCCTCACCTTTCTCCCCACCCGATTCCGCTCTCCCTACCCCGCTCCTCCTCCCCCAACCTGCCTTCCTCCCCCCCAGTGGCAGCGGGCTAGTCTGGTGGTCATCGCCATCACCTCCACCGCACCCCAGGCAGGGCAGGGGGGGAGGCTTGGGGGATAGGGGGTAGGCGGGGGGCTGGGGGCCCTCGTGTCGTCATGCGGGCCCTCGTGCCCCTCTCCACACCAGCCCTCAAGCCACCCCTCTTGGGGCTCCTAGGGAAGCCGTCTTTTGACGGCTGGGTTGTGTGTGTGGTTGTGTGTCGAGGAAAGTGGCCGCGAGCAGGAACGTACTGGATTGTGGAATTGTGTACAGGGGACGGCGAACCAGGTGGAGAGGTGGATTAAGAGTCAGAGAGAGAAAGCCTTGCGCCTTAAACATGTCCTCAAAAGCTGCGACCTGAACCCGCTCTCCCTCACCCCTCCCTGCCTCTCCTCCCCATTCCAAACAGGACCTGCGTTTCGGTCCTTCAGTGGGTGTGGGGCTGCCGCTGCTGCGCTGCCTGCACTTCCCCGCATACGACCGGGAGCAGCTGGTGGCGGCGCTGGGGGTGGTGAGTGGAGGGGGAGGTGTGTGGGGGGGAGGCGCTGGGGGTGGTGAGTGGAGGGGGAGCTGTGGGGGAGGGAGGGGCTGGGGGTGGTGCGTGGAGGGGGAGGTGTGGAAGGGGGAGGGGAGAGGAGAGGGACTGGGGGGTGCGGTAACTTAACCCTTGGATGCCGCTAATCCGTCAGGCTCTTCAACCCGTTGCCCCTGCTGAACCTCTCTACGTGCCCCCCTCTGTCCCTCCCTATCTGCCACAGCACGTCCCCACATCCTGCGGCGCCGCATCCGCACCCTCGGCACCCTCCTCGGCCTCTGCCGTACAGCCCTCCTCAGCCCCTGCCGTACAGCCTTCTTCCGAGCTGTACTGCAGCTTCCTGTCCGCCTACGTGGTGAGCCCCTTCAGCCCGCTGAGCCGCTCCGCTGCGGACCTGGCGGCGGTGGCGGGCTGGCTCTGGCCGCTGTACAGCAGGCCGCTGGAGGAGGGGAAGGTAGGGGAGGGCGGGAGAGAGGAGGGGGCTTATGAAGGTGGGGAAAGAGGAGTGAAGCACTGGAGTCCCGATTTCCTATGGGTGCGGGGGAGGAAGAGGGGTTGGGGGATGAGTTGGAAAAACCCAATGGGGGCTAGGGAAGCCGCAAACGAGGGAAAGGCGGTAGGGAGAGGAGGAGGGCCATCCTACACCTCACTCTACCCCCAAAACACACACATACACACGTTCCCCTCCTTCGTTCCCCCCACCTCCCCCCCTAGGTCCGCCCCGACGCCCCCGTGGAGAGCCAGGTACGGCAGCTGGACGGCCCCCTGAAGGCCAGCGGGGCGGTGAGGCGGCTGCTGGAGGTCTACCGCCCCGGCATGAGGAGCCCGCCGGAGGGGCTGCTGCAGGGGGTGCTGCTGCAGGCGGCAGGGGGGGCAGCGGGAGGAGGGGGAGGAGCAGGAGGGGGAGGAGGCGGCAGTGAGGATGGAGGTGGCGGGGCGCTGGTGTTGAATCTGGGCAAGGCGGCAAAGCTGCTGCTGCTGGCGGGTGAGGAGTGGGTGGGTGGGTGGGGGGTATTGGGGTGTGTGGAGGGGTGGTAAAGAGGAAACAACTAACTGACTGAGGGATAAGGTGGTGGTGGGGGGTTGCCATGATGGGGTCGGGAAGGGGTTGGGGTTGGGGTTGAGGAAGGAGGGGCTGTGCATGTAGAAATTTTGGGAAGCAGCAGAGGTACGTGTTGCTAGCGGGGATGGAACTCTGCCCCTCCGTTGCCATTCTCACGCCAACCAATACGTATCCCTATTAATCCCCCTCCCTCCCCTCCCTTCCCTCCTCCACCCTTCCTTCCTCCCCTCCCCCCTCCCCCCCCACCCCCCCAGCCTTTGTGGCCAGCCGCAACAAGCCCACACTGGACAAGGAGCTCTTTGACTACCGCCGCAAGCCGGGAGGGGGGAGGCGGAGGGGGCAGGCGGGGGCGGGCAGGGCGGGGGCGCAGGAGCAGGAGGCGGACAGACAGGTGGGGGGTGGGAGGGGGGGAGAGGGGTATCCGAACCGGCAGCTACACCCTTGAGCCACATTTTGAGTGCGTTCCGAAGTAGTTTTGCGTGGAATTCTGTGTCCAGTCTGATCCCAGTCTTGAACTCTATCTCTCCCATCCCGTCCTACCTCATGTGATCTTATCTCGCCCCCCTCCCTTATACATCCCGTCAGTTTCCTCCTCTTTACCCTCCCCCCTCCCTCCCCCCTTCAGGCAGAGGCTGCCAAGGAGGCTCGCCTAAAGGGCCCCCACGCCTTCCCCCTCACCCGCCTCACCTCCATCTTCCACCGCCTCTGGGCCGCCGTACCCTCCCTCGAGGATGACCTGTACGGCAACCTGTACGGCAGCATCTTTGGCCGTACGGCAGGGGAGGGTGCAGGCGGCGCGGATCCTGACTTGTTGGATGTTGACTTGGCGACTGGGTTCCAGGGCGGGCGGACTGGGCTGGAGGTGAGGGACTGGGGCGGGAAAGGGCGGGGGGGGGGAACGAGAGGGGTAAAGCCGGCAAAGGAACTCGGTCGAACCCTCCATGCTGCTGAAGTTGCACAGGGCTGACAGTGACCTTGTTATTCGTGTGCTGATTGTGTATCGTATGTTGTTGGCGTTACAAAGAGTTGGCGTTACAAAGCGAGGTCGGTCTTCCCCGTTGTCACGTTACTCCAGACCATTCCAGCCTCATCCCTCACCCCTCACCCCAACCCCTCCCCCCCTGCCAGGCTGTGTGGAGTCAGAGTGCGGCCGTGTTGAGCACCGTCACCGGCCTGCAGGTGCGGCAGGGGTGCGTGTGTGCGGAGGGAGGAGGTGGGGCGGATAAAAAGGAAACACCGTACTGACCGTGTGGTAAGGCGGACGAAGGGAAGAGGGGTGCAGCGGAGCACTATGTTGCCAGCAGCAGCGGCGGCGGCGGTCGCCCGTATGTGGGAGCGGATACCTCCCTGTGTGTGTACGTTTGTGTGGGAGTATTGCATGCATGGTATTATCAGGGCGGAACAAGAGGCAGAACGATGCATTGCACTGACGCTGCCTCCGCTGTGCCGCTGTGCTGCTGCCCTCTGTCGCCACCTGTGTCGCCTCTTCGCTGCTTCAGAGCATGGGCCTCCTCGCAAAGGTAAGAGCGGAGCGGAGCGGGGCGGAGGAATGGCTTAGGCTCCAGGATGACATGCTGCATGGCCAAAGCCGTGCGACTGCCTGCTCTGTTAAGTCGTCCCGTGCCTCCAGGGTATTTCATTGTTCGCTTTTGGGCATTCCGGCGAAGGTCTCCATCCTCCAATGTTTCCCTGCGCCTTTCCCCACCTCTTCTCTCATTCTCTGCTTTCCTTCTCCTCCTCTTCCTCCTCTTCCTCCTTTGCTTCTTGCCTTCTGTCCTGTACGGTGCAGTACGGCGGTAGTGACGACCCGCTGGACCAGCCGCGCTACACCTGCTGCATCGACGAGAACCTCGCGTTGCGACTGGCGGCTGACGTCAACCTCACCCTGCAAAACTACCTCATGTACGACAAATGAGGTTGCCGTACATGTGTCAATGTACGACGTACAAGATGAGGTTGTTAAACACGCGAACACGTGGCGCAGATGCGTGTGGGTGCTGTCTATGCCGTTTGGACCCATGGGTCATCCCAGCATGCTGTGTGTATCCTGGTGGGATTGGAAGTGCACAGGGAGCTTGTGTGGATGTGATGAGGGTGTATGGTGAAGCATCATGTGCATGGTTTTGGAGTTGAGCCGTTTGGGGGATCATATGCATGCATGCGGTGTTGCTGGTGGGGATGTTAGGTGCGATGTAGGGTGCACCTAGCGGGTTTGCAAACGGTGTGAAGCTGCCGGTATCGAGCTGCGTTATCGAGTTCGTACAGTTCATTGCTGCCCGCTTTGTGCATGCCTATTGAGGTTTGTGGCAGTAGCTGTGTACGGTCCGTACGGAGGTTTCACATGACACATGTTGTACGGATTGAGTTAAAAGGCTTTCCTTACACGACATGTTGCACGGATGGAATTGACAGGCTCTCTTCACATGACTCATCTCATGGAGTTTAAAGGCTTATCTCAATAACACGCGCATGACTGCTTCCACCAGCTTACATTGCAAGGAGGGACAGTTCAGCCGTGCACGCACGGAACTAGTACAGAGTGTTTGGCAAATAGCCGTATTCGGATATTGTAGATTGACCAAATCTGTGACCTCGGAACGAACTGGCTGCGGCTGCAATGAAACAAAGACTAAGCAATTATCACTCTTCGCAAAAGAAAGCAAAATCATGTTGTCTCAAGCCCAGGCAAATTCACCGGTACTAGTCACGGGTGACACTAATTTGTGGCATCCATCAGACATGCTAATCATGAGTACCCGCCTCCTCACGCCTTCACTCCTAAAAACGTTGTCCTTTGTGCCGTGTTTTCCCATATTATACAAAACCTGCACTTTTTAACTATTTATCTAACACACACCCATCCAGATGGCAAGTCCAAAAAGACAGTTCCATGATATTATATAACCGTAACCTACTGCTTTCTTCCCCGGGCCGTCGCCTGTCGCACTGAACAGCCAAAACTGTACGACACCCCAATCCAATGCCGTACCACCCCTTCCATACCGGTACGACATGCCGTATAAGGCACACAAAAAGGAAAAGGCAGTGCAGTGCTAGCCGTGACACAGCCGGAAGCGTAGAAGCCAGCAGGCACGATGCTTTTGGGAGCAAGGTATGGGTGGCACGAAAATACACATGAAAACACACACACGAGCTCAAGACACCAAGGTAACTTGCTCTGATGAACTGAATCAGTCGAAAATCGGTCGAGACAAGTCAAGATCAAAATTAAGTCAACAGCAGCGCCGCGCCACCGATCTCCCACAACCTACTGTTACCGGTACTCTGCATGTGATTAACAGTGAAGCACGATTCGGGCCGGCCTCCTCCATTTCCCCCTCCTCCCTTCTTACCGAACGCTTTCCGTACGCTTTCCCGACTAGCGTCAGCCATCCGCCATCCGGCACCCAACACATCCTATCAAAGTACTGCCCATCCCACACAGCAGTCACCCTGCTGCACTCTCCGATGCATCAGGAACCAAGTGAAGAGGAGCAACAGGCAGCTTTCCCTCACACCAGCGGGACGTACCGTAAAATCCCACAGACTAAACCACAACGAAAGGACAACACATGAAACGTCAAAATCAACTTATGATGTGTTGTACATTTGGATAACCGTACCGTACAGAAAGGATAGCATAATCGTACATGGCTGATCGGTTGGTTGACGGGGGTACGACAATGGCTACCCCCAGCATTGGAAAGACCCTCCCTGCAGTCAACTCAACTCGTGATAGATGTAGCCCTAGCTGCGGCTCTTTCCTCCCGCCGTACGTTGCATGGACCTCAAACCCCCCGCCGCAAACACCTCCTTCAACTCTGGCAACGTCAACTTCTTAACAACCCCTAACATACTTCGTTCGCACGCGTTGCTTCGCTACCTCGCCCTCTCGCTCTCCTAAACAACAAAATCGCGCATGGCCACCACTCCACATCCCTTGCTACCTATCTAGTCTCCGCCCTGGCACATGCTTAGCAGCAGCAACCAAACCCAAACCCAGTCAACAAAACCCCAAACCGGGCCCCCACTCACCCCTCCCGTTCCAGCACCCCCCCAGGTTCCTCCTTCCTCTCGGCTGACCCCTTCAATCCCTACAACTCTTCTCCTCATCAGCACCTCTCGTCATCCTCAGTTATCTCTCCGTCACATCTTTAACCCTGGGTGATGAAACGCCCCCTGTGTTTCTCCCCATCACCAGCAGCGGTGAGCCTCAGCAGTTGTGTCTCTCAGCAGCCGTGTCGCCTCGCCACCTCCTGCTGCTGCACCCGTCTACCCCGCACCCTCCCTCCCTCCCTCCCTCCCTCCCTCCCTGCCTGCCTCTCAGTACCCCTCGTCGCTGTCCGTCTCCCCTCCCTCCCCCTCCAGTAGCTCCATCTCCCCTTCCTCACACGGCTGCAGGTCCACCACACACGCGCGCTCCAGAATCACCTTGCCTGCCACCCACCGGACAGCAGCCAGGCAGGCGGGCGGGCAGGCAGGCAGGCGGGCGGACGGCGGACGGAGGGCGGACGGATGGGACAGGAGGGACGGACGGGGGACAGGAAGGGTGGCAGGAAGGGTGGGCGGCAGGGGCAGTTGGATCAGAAGGGGCAGGCAACAGGCAGCCGGGTAGATAGTGCATGCATAACAATTGTTGCTGTTGTTGTGGATGTAGGTGGGTGCAAGTAGATGGCCGTACCTTCCTTGTACTTCTGGGACTTCTCATAGGCCAGCTCCTGCGGTAGAGGGAGGTTGGAGGTTGGAGGCAGGAGAATGGAGGGGAAGCATTACCTGAATTGGGAAGCGCAGAATGATAGAAGCACGAGGAGACGGGCTAGGGGTAGGGGCGGAGAGCACACCCTCTCGTCCACCTGACGGGCCCTCCCAACCAGGGGTCTGTCGCAGCATGTCCATCCATCCATGCAACCAGCCCAACTTACATAGCGCCAGCCCACGGGCCACATGCACTTGGAGCAAAAGACATCGCACACGACATGGAGCCCCGTGGTCATCATGCGTTCCTCCTTGGGCCCGGTCAGCAGGTTGACTGCGGTGTTGAAAAGGTACGCGCGGCCTTGCTTGCTGTGGAATTGGCTAAGGAAGAACAAGAGGAAGAATAGACGATTTGTTAAAATGGGCAATACGATGAAAAGGTAATGGAGGAGGATGAAGAGGAACGGAACGCCCGAGAACGTCAGCTGCTGACAGGTAAGGTATGCAGTCCGGAGAAGGACGAATGAAGGAAACGGTGCAGTATAATGTATTTGTAGGTGCAACCGGTAAGTGTAAGGATGTTATGCCTGTAGGTGCCCCTCTAAGGGAAGTTTGCTGTGATTCCTCGGGTGGGCATGCCGAGCGATGTGCCGAGCGTATGCCCTACGCAACGGCGCCCTCTAGTTCATAGGCGACGGAGTTTGCTCAATTACAAAAGTAACAATGCTGACGTCGGCTCTGGTAACTGTCACTCGGCCTGAAGCTTAGGCTAGGGTTTACGCATTTGCTTACCGCGACAGCAACTCAGAAGCGGCCGCTAGGTTGCAGTGGCACATCTTGCAAGCATAGCAGCGACCGTCAAGCCACTCAATAAACGGCCGGCCCATTGTTTGTTGCGACGTAAAGTGAGACGAAACGCGTGGGACTGTCCAGAAACAAGCAATGCGCGCAGCGCTGCTGCGCAACGTAGGTTGAAACCTGGTGCTTATAATGCAATACGTAAAGTGCAATGCTCTTCCTTCCAACTGGTGCTCCTTTAAGGTGCTGTATGCTCCGAAGCCGTGAAACCATTTCTGGAGCGACTGAAGTAAAATAGTAAAGAAGTAAACATCTAGGCCAATATAGAAAGTAGAGAGGCGTATTGTTACATGCTACTGCAACTCTTGATATTACTCTTTGTCCACCGCTTTCGCAGTGCTTCGACGGTTGCCACCTCCGGCTCCACCGCCTCGTCCAACCTCGGCACCGTTCGATGTTGATGTTGGAGCCAGGAACTGCGGAAGTGGTCTTGGATAGCCTGCATTATAGCATATTATCAGGAGGTGGCGCACGCGCGTACCGAATGTAATGGGGATGGCCATCAGCAGCATGCGCAACAGAGACAGCAGGGCCTAGCTAGTATGCAACCGTAAATCCCATGTGTTCAAAAGCTGTTAGCCGGATGATAGATAAGCAGGTCGCTTGCGCTAGCAAGCGTTCCAAGCACGGTCCACGGCAAGCATGTTGGGTTGCACTTAGCGGCCTAGCACGCTTGGGCCAACCGCCCAAGCCCTTCCTACCCGTGAAGCAGCAAAAGGCCCTCACGCACACCGCCCCGCAGTTGAACAGCGCTGCCACCTCCGCTGCCGCCATGTCGCGTGTGATGCTGGACGTAGCGTGTCCAAAAAACACATCCCGGAACACCCCTCCGGGAAATCCCTCCATCACCCCCTCATCCCCTGCATGCTTCTGCCCCGCCGAAGGTGATGCTCGTAGAGGCGGCGGGGGTGGTGAGTATGAGGAGGGATGAGGAGGCGCATTGGCTTGCCCCAGCAGTAGCAACTGCCCCAGCCTGAGTCGCAGGGGATGCCAGCCAGTGTTCTCCAGCAGAAAATACTCGTTGGTCTGGAAGAAGGTGCCTGGGAAGAAGGGAGGAAGCGTATGAGGGATACGTACCGGTATGGTATAGCCAGCGTAGCGGTTCTCGGTTTTTAACCTTCAGCGGATGATGAGATAGCCTCCGCTGGGCCTGTGCTGTATATAGTGTACGGCACCGTACAATCATTGTAAGAAACCCTCATACATGTAACACATTCCGTACCGTTGAGCGGGAAGCCCCCACGTAGCGCCGTACGACACGGCATCAGTACGGCAGCGTGCAGCTCCAACGACAGCAGCACCTCTACCTCCGCTGCCGCCACCGTCACCGCCTTTACTGCCGCCACCGCTGCTGTCGGGCAAGCCTGCTGACACTCAATGCTATCGCCGTTGCCATCACCGCTGGAATGCGTATGCAGCGCCCCCGCTTGCTGCCCTTCTTGCTGCTGCTGATGCTGCTGCTGGAGCGCTTGCTGGGTCGCCCGGAGTTGCTGCAAGCGATGTACGGCCGGAAACAGCTGTTCGTGGGGGCTGGCCACTCGCCAGAAGGCTGCGGCAGCAGCCTGCAGCAGCGGGCAGGTGAAGCATGTAGGAGAGGGTGATGTCGCAGATGGGATGCCTTGCTCGCAGGTGCCGACCGAGTAAGGTGCGGTGCCGGTAGGTCAGGTCAGGTGGTGAGGCACGGTGATGCATGATTATATACGGTACCGATATCGGCTTAAACGGTAACCATGAAGGACACAAGGTAGGAGGACACGCCCGACGGCCCTAACAGGGGCAGTAGGCTTTACATTTCGTAGCAGTCGCGCACTGTGGTCTTGTGTGTTGCAGGGGTTTGGAAACGCGCTTGAAGGAAGCGCGCTTGAAGGAAACGCGCTTGAGGGAAATGCGCTTGAAGGAAACGGGTTTGGTTTCCCGGAGCAGCAAGGCTTTGACATGCAGCTGGTCCGGTAGGTGGGCGGTTTGGCTTCCCGGTACCAAATTGACAACAAATGCTTACAGAGGACTATGGGCTTAACTGCCTACTAATAAGTCTTAGCTTGACAGGCTCGTGTCAGTAAATTTTATTTTCAGAACAATGCACAAGGACCCACCATCGGGGCCCCTTCGCGTTATATAAAGGCCACCAAGGGCTACAGAGGTATGACCGTACTTGAACAGGATCTGTTCTATAGGTCATACACCTGTCTGTATTCTTCGAATCAGACAAGCTCCTCAACCCAGACGAAGAGACGAAGCCCCGGCGCCTGAGCGCTACGTATGGCCACAGTGACCGTGCCGCTGGCACGGACGCGTGGCTCTGGATGAACGTCCCGCCGTGCCTCATTCCGCCGGCAGGGATGGCGCACGGGGCATTCAGATGGGTTCACTTTTTCACTTTTGTTCAATGTTTTCCCTGGCCCTCACGCTTTGACACGTACGTTCCCATGCCTGCCATGGAGTGCTAAGTGGGAGCCTTAGCCCCATATGAGCATCAGTCATTCTTCCCGTCCCCCAAAACTTCCTCGCGGCAGCCGCCTTAGTACCGCTCTATTATAAGCCTTAAAATAAAAAACCCGCCCATGCATCACAGCTTCCCCCCCCCTCTGCTAATTGTTCCCTCTTTACCCCTCTGCTCCCACCTGAGGGCCTGCCGGCTTGCGAGCGAACGCCGCCGTCACCGCGCCCTGTCGGAAGGGCTGATGCTGCCCTCCCGCGGCCTCAGCCCGCCCATCTCCATTGACCTCCAGGGGCGCCGCAAGACCACAACCACCGCTGCCGCTGCCGCTGCCATCACCGCCATCGTTGTTCGTCACAGGCCTGTGCGTTTCGCGCAACAGTCCCTGCGGGGCGCCGCCAGCAGCCGGCGAAGTTGCAGCAAGAGAATACGGAACAGGCGTCGATGCTGCGTCGCTGATCCGCCCCCGGGGGTACGACGGCGGCGGTGGTGGCGCCCCACCGTCGGGTCTTCGGGTGGGAGGCGTGCCGTGAGAGCTGGGAGCTTGAGTTGTGGGAGCCAGCAGCACCAGCAAGTAAGGCGCCTCTTCATCATCATCCTGCTGCTGCTGCTGCTGCTGCAAGGGGGCATCTGCTGCTGCTGCGCTAGAGCCCCAGCAGGCCATCAGCTCGGGAGCGATCCTCCGCATGGCGGCGTGTGACACCTGGCAGCAGCAGCAGCGGTCCAGCAGCGGGGGCAGGGGAGAGGGAAAGGGCAGGAGATGAGCTGAGTCGGGAGGAAACACTGACGGTGACCAAAGGAGGTTCCGTCGAGGAGGGGAGGAGATGGGCATGGAGACGCTTACCGGTACTTGTTGGGGCGAGGAACTGAGGATTGTATTCCTATGTATAGTAGTGGGCTAGTGCGCGCACGCTGTACAGGGGTAGGGTTTGTCCACCTCCTTGGTTAGCTGAATGTCCATGTCAGCTTACCGCTTACCGTGTATGCCCTCTACCGCTTCTAACTATAGCTATGTCCATAACTCTCACCTCGATTCCTGTCACCCTGCGTCTGGTTTTGTTCGCAACCGCTCTGCCACCGGGCTCAAAGGCAACCAGCTGGGATTGCCCACCGCCGCCGCCGATGACGTTAGCACTCCGGCGACTACTGCCGGTACCCACGCTTTGCTGAACGACCATAAATTGACCGCTCATCGCTTCAGGCCCCAATCCGGAAGCTGCGATCCCATCTGCGACAGCCACGCCAGCCGTCCCAGTCGCGCTCCCAGCCGCAAAAACCGTGGCTGAAAGGGGGTTGTCCTGCCCTGTAAACAGCTGCTGCGCGGTCTCAGCGCTGCAGACGGTGCTTCCAGCTGCAGGCAGCGGGTGGCGAGGCGGTGGCTGCTGTGGCGGCCTCTTCGCCTCCGCCGGAATGCGAATGGTGCCGTCTGGATCGATGCAGTACAACGAAGCCACGTCAGCAGCGGCATCAGCTGTCAGACCGCTGCCGCAGCCGCTGCCGCTGCCATCATCAGCGGCGTAAGAAGTGTAGGCAGGTGAGGGAGCAGCACCCGCAGCAGCAGCAGCAGCAGCAGCACCGGCAGCACCAGCGGCGGCGGCACGGCGGGCGATGGCGGCTGCCCGAGTGAGCGCCGCGAAGGCGTCAGCGGCGCGAGGGTGGCGGCACTTGTCTGGATGTACGGCAACACTGAGCTCCAAATAGCGCTGCCGTACGACGCTGGCGCCTGTGGTGGTGATGATGAGGGGCAATGGGAGCGGAAACCCAAGGGAGCCAAGGTGAGAGGGGTACCGGTACTGCTGCGTACTGGTCGTAGGTTAGGCCTGGAATGAAGGTATGTGAATGAGTATCTAACTAACGATGCCGGTACGTGGCTAGTAGAGGCCCATCGCCTCCAAAAAGCTTCGAGAATGCTACAACCGTATCTCGGTATTTCCATGCCGTTTACGAAGGACCCCCTACTAGGGCCTCCTTACTGGTTGGTTCTCCAGTGTGCTTCTCGCTTCCCAAGAAGCAGGGCATCCCGGAACTTACCATCGGCAAGGGTCGCTGGTGCGTCCATCTGCAACACCGAGCAGGCAGCCCGCAGCGACAGGGGCTCCCAAGACCCGGTGCTTGAGGCAGCAGCAGCAGCGCTGCCTGCAAGGCCTGCAGCAGCACCCGCTGCTGCACCCGCAGCCTCACCACCAGCAGCAGGGCCAGCCATCGTACCGCACTGTACGACAGATAAAATCCGCTCCACGTGCTCCCAGCCCGGTTCCGAAACCACAACAGGTAGTGCATCCCGTGGATCCGACTCCGTGGGCGCCTCGCGATTACTCCAGGCGGCAAAACCGGTAAGAGGTACGGCAGCCGTTACTGCCCCTGCTGCCGCAGCGGACGTTGCGACCTGCTGCACCGCCGCCGCCGCCAACGGCTCTACGGCTGTTGTCGACACCGCCACTGCAGATGCGTTGGCTTGCTTTCCCGTCTCTACTGCTGCCCTCGCTCCGCCACGCAACCCCCTCACGGATGACAAGTCCGGCTTCTCTGGCGTGGCAGGCTGCAGCGGGGCCGGTTGCACCACATCTGCTGGAGCCACAACCGGGGATGGCAACACCGGCACATGCGGCAGCGACGGCAGCGGCGGCGGCTCCACTTCCCATAATCGCGAGGGCGAGGGTGAGGGCCTTCCGCTTCGTCCTCCTTGTTTGCTGGCGCCGCCGCCGCCGCCGTGTACGCAGCCAGTATGCTGGCAGACGCCGCAGCTGTTACCGCTGCCGCCGGCAGCGGCGACTGCTTCTTCCTTCTTCGTTAGGGAAGCCTCCGCCGCCGCCGCCGCCATCGCCGCCGCTCCATCATGCGCCGCCATTGCGCTTGCCGTACTGCCGCGCTCAACGCCATCTCCACTGCCGCTGTCCCCATGCAGCGGGACTGTTGAGCACTTCTGCCTCTTCCGCCGCTGCTGCTGCTGCTGTTGTTCATGGTCCAGCTCTTTGGGTTGTGGTCGCTGCTCACCCATGTGCCCCTCTTGCCGCTCTTCGTCCTGTTGCAGCCGCCGCCGCTGCCGCCTCTGCTGCTGCTGCTGCTGCTGACGTGATGCTGGTTTTGGAGCGACGGCTTGCCGCCCACCGTCCGCCCGGTCATCAGCTTCCCAGCTGCCGCTGCCGTCGTCGTCGCTGCCAAAGCGTGCCCGACCTGCCCGAAATGGCAACTGACGCCGCGGTGATGTACTTACGCCTTTCGCATCATCTCGTCCTTTTTGCATTGCAACATCATCACTGACCCGTGGGTCATCATGCAGGCCAGCTGGCGCCGTGTGGTGGGGCTCTGAGTGTGGCAATGAGGAGGATTGACCCATGGGTCCGGGACGCATGCGGCGGTACGGGTGGATGGAAGCATACACCGCTGCAATGCCGGCGGACGCCTGGATCGCGGCGGCACGACGTGTACGACAACAAGGCATCCTGGCGGTGTGTGGAAGGGTTGTACGGCTAGACGACACGTCTGCAGCCGCTCCTCCCCCCTCTTCCACTGCGTCAAAGGGCAGTGACGCAGTGCCGGCAGCCGCGTCGGCAGCGTCGGCAGCAACCACCTTCCCAACGGAACCGGCAGCAGCCTCCCCAAAACCAGCTTCGTGTCCCTCCGCCGCCGCTGCCACGCTCGTGTTGCTGCATACCGTTACCTTCTTCGGACCCAACACCGCAGCAACAGGCTGCAGTAATGTCGCAGCGAGGCGACCTGCCCCCGAGGTCTTGAACACATCCCCTATCGCTGCTGCTGCTGTGCCGCAGTCAGCAACCGCCGGCGCCTCACCAGATTCCTTCCTTACAGCACCGTCCGCCGCTACTGAGACCCCGAAAGAGGCTAGACCCTGTTGCTGACCAACGTGCAATGCGACAGGACGGGAAGGCGACGGAGGAGGCGAGCGAAGAGGCGAGGACAGGGTATCGTCCGTGCAGCCCGGAATGGGGCTCTGATGGCGACGAAGCCCCGCTATAAGGCCCTCGACCTCCAGTCTGCGCTGCTCCTGCTCCTGCTCCTGCTCCTGGCCTTCCTGCAGCGGCTCCCACTCTTGCTTTGGCTGCTGGTGCTTCTGCTGCAGTTGTTGCTGTCCCTCCCACTGTTGCTGCTGTTGCTGCTGTTGCTGCACCCGAATGGGAGGGGTTATCTCATCCGACGGTACGTTGCTCGCAGGATCCGCAACTGGTGGCTGCTGCTTACCCTCCGTCAGGCCCACGAAGCTGTTGAGCGTCGCGGGTGGAGCCGTTGCCCGCTGCCGACTTGGGACTGCAGTTGGAGCCGCAACCGCTGTGGCGAGGGGAGTGAGAGGAGCGGGGGCGCTGGCTGCTGCCGCTGCCGTAGGGGAGGGCACACCATGTACGGCAGGCTTGCGCTGTGTGTGTACGGCAGGAGAGGCGTTGGCGCGCTGCGGAACCACCTGCGGAGAAGAAGACGAGTCACGGCGGGTCGTTCAGCCCCAACCAAGCCGTCGGATACTCTGAAGCCCTTCCTTCTCTCACCATCACCCTCTTCACCTTCAGCCTCTGGCCTCCTTGTCTTGCATAGTCGCACTGCTCAGCTAGCGGGCAGGCGTCGCAGTTGGGCAGCCGCTTCTGACAGAACACCTGAGAGGAAGGGAGAGGGCAGAGCGCAGGCGGTGCAGGGGGCAGGGGTATCCATCTAAACAGTGCATGGGGGAGGGTGGTGTGAAGCTGGGGAAAGCTTCAGGCGGAGGTAATGTACATGACTATCCTTGGTGGTTGGAATGGATAGGAGCCCTCCATCGCGTTTTCGCCAAAGCCGTGCTTAGATTAACATTGGAATAGCAATTAACTGTATACGAATATCAAAACGTATATATGAATTTAAGCAATGGCAAAAGTTCAAAAAGCCGCACCCGATGCGATTCGAACGCACGCGGGGAAACCCCACGGCCTTAGCAGGGCCGCGCCTTAACCACTCGGCCACAGGTGCTTGTCACACAATGAATCGGAGATCTATATGAATAATATATGCCTACACAAAAGGCCTAATGCCAAGTCCGTGTCCCCATCCTTATCCTCCCGGCACCCAGCCTCTAGCCCACAGCTTCAACCCCCTCTGCTACCCAAACTCCTGTCCGGCTCCTCCCTTCGCCCTCCCAACCACCGTACCGTACCGTACACACATAAACGCTCATGGGCTGAGGCTTGCCAGCGGCATGATCTTTTCCCCCCACACGCACCTTCCCTTGCGAGACAGCCTGCTACTGCAGTTGCGCCCACCATCCCCCACCCCCCCACCCCACCTTGCTCCTCCTCCCGACCGCCTCCATCTACCACCCAACACCAACATGTTGTAGGCCTAGAGCCTTGTCACAAGCATGCTTCGTTAGTCCTCTCTACACACACCCTCCTCCCAGCCATGATGACGCCTTATCACACGGTCAGTTAGTTGTTTCCTCTTTACCCTCCTCCCTGCCTACCCACCTTCCCCAGTGTGATCGCCTGGTAGTGCAGCTCGTACAACGTTTCCTGGTCGAAACACATCAGCCGCCCGTGCAGGTACTTGTGGACCTGGGGAGGGGCGACGCGAGAGGAAGCGAGGGCGGTGGGGAGGTAAAACATGGAAGAAACGAACTACCCGTGCAACACTGTTGTCTCCTCAACCCTGGACTCAAGCACTCAACTCAATAAAACCACACGTTCGGCGCTACCCTGCCTAAGAAGAGTGGACCCTAGACCCTACACCTACCTCGGGCTCCTGCGGATAGGCATCCAGCTGCTCCAGGGTGGCTTCGGCCTGACCAGAGAGCGGCGTGGGGAGTGGGGAGCACATTGGGTGTGTCAGTTACTAATGTAGTTAACAGCTAACAGAACTAGTCAGAGGTCAGAGTAAGAAGGAGCAGTCATGACCAGTAACAGGCGTCGTACACCATGCCCAACCCGGCCCCCGGCGCCCGACATGTGGGTGTCATACACACACACACACGCACGCACACACACACACCTCGATCGGGATCCAGCCCAGTCGTGCGAAGACTCGAGCGACGTTAATGTCGACTGGGAATTCCTGCGGTTAGGACCCCGGCACCATGACGGGTGCGCGGCGCGGTTGGCCGGCACGGGGGAGAGAGGACTCACATGCCCCATGTTAACATGTGTCGTGCCCTTTGTCGCCATGCGTTGCTGGAGAGCCTTTGTGCACCCTCACCCCTTCCCTATTCCCATTGCTTTGCCCTAACCTGTGGTTTTGGTACCCTATGTCTCTGACCCTCCCGTACCTTGCGGTGCAGGGCTAGCAACGTGATGCAAGCCACGCTCTTGCGACCCAGACCGCCCACTCCTAGCAGGTAGCTGCGGGGCAGGGGGTGGGAGAAGATGAGAGGAGAGAGAGGCGGCAGGTGAGAGGAGGGGCGTCAGGAGGATTAATAACAAATCGATTGAAACCACATGTTAGCACAAGGCGCAGAAGGAGCAGAGGGTAAAGTTGGAACACGACCCCAGTCTAGCCCCTCTCCCCACCCCACCGCCACCTGTTGGCTTCCTCCGCTGATGCGCCTCGTAACCACTCAAGGGAAAGCGCCTGGGGAGCCGAGGCGGCGGAAGCAAGCGGAGGAGGCGGAGCAGCAGGAGCAGCAGGAGCAGCAGCAGCAGCAGCAGGAGGCGGAGGGCTGCCCGGGGCACCGGCCGCTGAGATGCCGCTGTCACGCTGCCCGCTGCCGCTACTGCCAACATGGCCAGCAGCCCTGCCGCCCTTTTGCTTCCTGCTAGAACGCGGAGTTGCGGCAGCAGGAGCAGGAGCAGCTGCTGAGTCCGTATGGCTAGTTGCAGTACCAGCAGTGCCAGCACCACCAGCAGTAGCAGCACCACCAGCAGCAGCAGTAGCACCAGTAGCGGACTCTCGGTGTACGGCGTTGAGGAAGGCCTGGATCCGCTTGGCTAGCATGAGGTGCATGCCCCTGCCGTACAGCGACAGAGGACGTGATGGTGGTGGTTAGAGGGAGACCAAGCATGCGTGTTTTACCGGTATTGCCGCGCTGCCCTCAGGGCTTTGAGGAGGTCGACAAGAGTAGGGCGGGGCACAGCAGCTATAACACGACACGGCAACACACGGCAGGTGTTTTACATTTGTCGTACAGACCTACCTGCAGCGAATCAGCTCCGCTAGGTCTTCCTCGGGTGCCGTACGTACGGCCTCCCAGTCCACGATATCCTCGCCCTCCGGGATCCAGAATCCGTACGGCAGGGGTGCCGGAGACGCTACCGCTGCCGCCGCGGCTGCTGTCGCGGCGGCGGTGTCGTCGTACCTCGCTTCAGTGCTGCACGAGGCTGCTGCAGTGGGGGCTGCTGCTAATAGAGGGATGGAGGTGTTGGCGGGTGCGGGGGTGTCGTAGGCTGCCTGGCTGGTCGTCGCAACAGCTGATGTCGGCGCCGCTGTTGGCAACGAAGGCGTTGCAGCTGCCCGGTTAGCTGCGAAGAAGGACCTCGAGCGGGGCCCTGGGAACGCCGCCGCCAGGTTCATGAAAGCGGCGCTTGACAGGACGTCGGCGGCATTCTGCGGAACAACAAACGGTGGCAAATGGTAGCCATGCACTCATTGGCACGCCCGCCTCCCTAGTCGGCCGTCTATATCGCCTACCGTATTTCCTCTATCTTCTCGCATCTCCTACATACCCCTCCCCTGCTGTTTCGGCAGTCCATGCAGCCCGTTATGCCCACCTGCGTGAGGAAGGTACCCACCACGGAGTCCAGCACGGAGCCGCCCCACCTGCGACCCATGGGTCACAGCAGGCAACATGGAGCCCCAACAATGCGCGAGATTCCTGACCATGTAATAGAGAATGCGCAGTGTCAACCAAAGAAAAGCATGCCCTAGAAGTCGTGAGTACCTGCAAGAGGGTGTCAAGGAGCTTCCCGCGTCTTCCAGCTAGTACCACAACCCACCTCGCCGCCCCCCAGCCCTCCTGCACGCTGCATGCCGCCTCCCAACCCACCTGCATGCCGCCCCCCAACCCACCTGCACCTCAGCGAGCGGTCCCCCAGCACCCCTCGCATCGCCCTCATGAAGCCCCCCACACGCCGCGCCCACACAATCTTCTCATCGTAACCGAACACAATCAGGCTGAGTTGCCCCTCCCGCAGCACACGTGCGCGCTTGGTCGCCGGCTTCTTCGGGGGCTGCTGACCTTGTTGCTGCTGCTGTTGCTGCTGCGGCTTCGCGGAGTGAGGAGAATCTGACAGGATGAGGTCGCTGGTAAGGTACGGTAGCAGGGCTCGGCCCCAGCTGCTGCTGCCTGCAGCACCCCGCCGTCGCTGCCGTACGATTGCTGACTGGCTCCGGAGCTCATTCTTGTGTGCGGTGGTTGTGGTGGTTGCGGTGATTATAACGGCAGTTGTGCCCTCAGGACCCGGTGTGGCTGCGGTTGTGGCTGGCTCGCAGCGGGTGCGTTCGTGAGAGGCGGCGGAGAGGAAGGAGGAGCGGGGGCGCCTGTGGGGAGAGTTAGGGCAGGGAGATCGAGGGAAGAGATGAGATGCCAAGTAAGGGGAATGACACTAATATGTGCGTTTACGTGTTTGGCGTCTTGTGGCAAGTACGGTAAGCAACTAATAGCTGCTTCCCAGGCAGGCATACGGTACCCTTCCTCGTGTCAAGCATGTCCTCTGTCCTCACCTTGCCCAAGGCGGCGCCGCTCCGGGATGACGCAAGATGCCCCCTGCCGTACAAGTCGTACGAATTTCTCCGGGACCCGGTATCGGAGCCGGAAAGCAGTTGGCCCCGGAAAGCAGTTGGGCTGCTCCAAGAGCTACCGGATAGCAGGTGTTGCCTGGATGAGGACCCTCCTGCTGGGGTGCCTCCGAGTAGCGCTGTTGTGGTTGCAGCTGCCACGGCTGCTGCTGCCGCTCCTGCTGGCCGCAGTCCTGCAGGCCTTCCAGTAAGGAACTCTGGCACTGAAGAAGCAGCTGTTGCAGCAGCAGCTGCTGCTGCTGCTGCTGTCGGTAGTGCTGTTGTTGTGGCGGCGGCTGTTGCTGCTGCTGCGGGGCAGGATGCGGCTGGTGCATGAGCGGATCGAACGTTAGCCGCAGAGAGTGGTCTGGCGCTTGGTTCCATTGCGGTTGATGGAGATCCAGCTGATCTGGCGGCATCGACGGTGGCGGAGGCAAAAGTGAAGATGATATTGGCGTCAAGGGCTGTCGACGATCCGAAAGACATGCATGGCTGTCGCCAGCAAGAAACGCCCCCATGCCTTGCACGCCTGCTGGCACCGTGGAAGCTTCCATGGATGCTCCCACGTCGGCGTTGTACGGCGAATCGGTATCCATAACGTATTGCGCCGCCGCCGCCGCCGCCGCCGCCGCGGCCGGGAGCAGCAGGGATGACGGGGACGTCGGGGCTGGCAGCACTTCAGAGTGGTCATACTGCTGTTCAAAGGTTTCCTGTGGTGGCTTAAACAGCAGCGGCGGCGGCGGTTGCTGCTCCGGGTGTAGCTGGTGCTGGTGCTGCTGCTGCTGCTGTTGGTGGTAATGATGACCACTCCCGGGTTGCTGCTGTAGCAGCTGTCGCTGCTGCTGGTGGTGTTGGTGTTGGAGAAGCATTTCGTGCTGCCGGAGGTGCCGTTCCTGCAGTTGCTGCTGTTGTTGCGGGTATACGACACGGGGTTGCCGGTCTAAGGCAAAGGACAGTGGAGGTGACAGCGGCAATGGCAGCTGCTGCTGCTGATGCTGATGCTCTTGCAGCTGTTGTGCTAAGCGGAGCGGCTGCGGCCGCCCGAGGTGTGAAGCTGGGAACTGCAGCGGCCGCACGGGCTTCTCATCCCAGAGCTCAATATGAGGTAGAGGCTGAGCGAACTGGGTTGGGAGGGTGCCATGAAGCCCCGGTGCTGCCGTCCTGTGGAATGTACGGCTCACTCCAGCTGTCGTCACCTGTTTCGGTCCTTGTTGCAACTGCTGCAATGAGCCCAGGTTCGGTTTAGCCCAAATGGAGGTGCTCGGATACAGTTGGTTGCCGGCGCCTAGCATGCCGCTGTCGCGGTCGCGACGGCTCGCATTGCCATCGGCGGCAGCCCCGGCGACGGCCCCAGACACGGAGGCTTGGAGGGCTTGCCACTCCATCTGGTGCATCCTGCACGGTAAGTGTTTAAACCTTAATCTGGTTTCAATGGTTTGCTAGCGAACGTCGTCAAAGGTGTTCCGACTATTTAATGACGACGGACGAGTCGCGACCGACTCATTACTGTCGACCGACCGCATTAAACTAAACACATTACATCGCTACCTTTAATATATGACTAATGATTAGCCGCTGATACGTTGCCGGCGCTCTGCCAGCACTCGCACAATCGTCGTCCAGTTGAGCAAATAGCCCCTAGGCAGTTCTAGGCCAGTAATGCTTACTTGCAATGAAATTACCGTTGGTTAGAAGCATATTGCGGGAGACTGTAACATAGTTGCACAATGTCGGTACCTAAGCGGTTTGGCGACGGAGGGCATTGACAGAAACTTAGCAGTTGCAGCGTAAAGCATGTCGCGATGTATGCCAAGCGGTGTGCGCGAAGCCAAAATCCGCAGGCAAAGGCGCTCGCGGAATGCACAAATGCAATAAGGCCCCTCTTCAACAAACTCCCCACTAGGTTCAGCACGCCAATCTCCACAAGTGGCATGCACCTTGACTGGCTGCAGGTCGAGCATGCCGAAGAGCCTGCGACGCACCTTGAGTAGGCGGTTGCTTAACGAACCTCTTGTTAGCTTTTTGCGGAAGCAAGCGGGGCTATAGCGCCACCTTTTTGCCGCAAATAAAAACTGAAAGCGAAGCGCGTATCAATCGGTTCTAATTTGATACGCTGGTAAGCCTGTGAAGCACACACGTTAGTAATGATTGCGACGGGGCACGCAAGCAAGAGTCCCAAAGTGGCATTTTGCAACAGCTGTTAGCATACAGCAATAGTGGCCCCGGCACTCAGTAAATCTGGAAGTTATGGCACCGCTTTGCCATAAGTGCCTGTGTATCCGGAAGATTAAGGTGCCGAGGCCCAATGCACCATGCTATCTGCTATGGCATTGCGCTACGGGACAGTGCGCAGCGTGTCACATAGTCTTGCATGACAGTTCTGCGCGTTGGGAGAAGCCGACGGTTGAAGACAGCACACATCCCTTTCCGTTGGGGCCGGGAACCAGTGTTATAAGCTTATAACGCTCATAGGCTCTCTTACTGTTTACACATTCCGCTACCAAAACACCTCACCGCGTCATATGACGCACGCGCAGCAATGGCGCTATTACCGGTAACCGTACCGTATACAAAGTGGGTTTCCAGACTCCCCACCCAGCATCTGGCTGTTCCCGAAGGCATGGGAGAAGCAGCCCCCTCTAAAGCGTCTTCAGCACCTTTCAATGTTGTTTCGCCAGCACCATCTGGCCTAACCTATGTAATCTACACGCATCCTCCATAGCGCGCGCATGCACCATTCGGGACCAGCCGTTCATGGCCAGCAAGCCCCAGACTAGTTAAGCCACCACCTGCATTCCTATGCTATGAGTCCAGATGCGTCTACACCATGCGACACCCAGTTGTGGGCACAACGTCGCACAAGCGAAGCAGCACAAGGATTAGCACACGAAACACTCACACCGGTTCATGCTGTGACGACGCGCTGGCACTCCACAGCGGAACCACCATATCAGTATCGCGACAAGTACCCTGCAGTGAAACTGTAAACCTGTATATAGCGTTGCAGCTTTGGATTGCGGTCTACCATAACAAACCCAAGTCAACGGCTCTAGAGTCATCATTCCAACAGACGCAGCACCAGCGATGCTTAACCCCTCGAGATACCTGGCAAGCATTCTGTCAGTTGTAAAATTGTCACCCACCCTAGCAGCTATGCTACCCTGCGCCAAACCTACAACACACAGCGTCGAACTGGCGAGGAATGACCCCCAGACTCTCTCACATGCAATGCAAGCTCCTGATGCGGCGTCCAACGAGCGACCTAGCCAGGGACCTTGACCTATAAACTGGAAGGCCAAGGCTCTATTGTCATGCGCCTCCGCCACAAGCAGCAGATGGGGAGGCATGAGCCTAGCGTATTGGGTTCGGGGAAGCGCATGGAACGGCATGCGCTCGAAGGACGCGCTACGAGTCACTGTGAGAGCTGTAGTTGCGAGGACGGTTGGGACTGCAGCTGGCTGCCCGGGTTGAGCAGCGGGGTCTTGAGGAGTTGGTCCGCCGTGGGACGCTGCGCCGGGTCGGGCGCCATCATCTTCTGCAGGTGGGAACAGAGGGAGCAACAGGAAGGCATGCGCGTAAGATTGTAAGTCCTGACAAGGCCAAGGGTTCCAAAGGGCTTTCCGGGCAGGAACACAGATGCGGTCATGTACGCCTGCCTCCTGTCGGCCCAGACATGAGACTCACCTTTAGCAGCGCTACTAGCCGCTGGCTGCTGCCCGGGAGGAAAATCTTGCCGGCGCGGATGTCATGGTACGGCTGCCCGTTCTTTGGCAGCTCGCTGCCGCGCAGCAGCTCGTAGGCGGAGGCACCAAGCGCAAAGATGTCCAGCCGGTCAGCCAGCCCGCTTGTGAGGAAGTCGCGGCTTTTGAGCGCCTCAGGTGCAAGGTACCTGCATACATGCCAAGTGCAGCTGGATCAGCCTCTCTCACGCTCATGCGACTACCAAGTTAACGAGTTGGAGCCACCGTGGACCAAGAGAGCTGCATCATGCGATCCCCAGGCAAGCAGGTCGGCAAGAGGGGCCCGAACTTACTTGACATCGCCCTCGGAGGTGCCTGCCCGCTGGCCTCCCTGCATCATGGCCAGCCCAAAGTCACCCAGCTTGTACACCGGCCCGCTGCTAGCACCGCTGCTGATGCTGCCCGATGCGGACGCCAGGTAGATGTTGTCGGGCTTGATGTCCAGGTGCACCATGCCCAGCTCGTGGATGCGCTTAAGTGCGGACGCCATCTGTAGGTGGGCATGCGCGGGTGGGGGTCGCAATGGAACATGAATGAGGTTGTGGGAAATGAAAGGGCCATGCAGAACACAAGCAGGGATCGAAGGCTGACAACGACCATGCATGGCCGCATCTAGGAGTACCGTAATTGCGATGCACACATGCACGCTGGGAAGCAGGGGGGTGGAGGCATTCATGAGTGAACTTGAGCATGGAGCAGTACAACCACATGGACGAGCGAAACGCGCTCCATGCCATCTGGGTCAGCGCCCGGAAAGCAAGAACACCTAAACGACGTGAAGGGACGGCCAAACGACCCACCTGGCGGAGCATCTCCAGCACATCCGGCTCCTTCAGCTGCACCCGCCGCTTGAAGATGTCGCGCAAGCTCTCCCCGCACAGCTCCAACTTCAGGTACGCCTGCTCCGCATCGCCCCGGATGTCCGGCTCAAACCAGGCATCGTGCAGCGCCACTATGTGTGGGTGGGTCTGCACCGCCGCTAGCGCTTGCATCTCCTGCACACATGCATCCAGCACACGCTTAGCCCTTCACCCAGTAAGGAGACCGTGCGCAGTCAGACTGGTGGTGGAGCAGAATGAGCATGCATATTGATTGGCAGCAATTGGGGGGCCACTTACATTAAGCCACATGTTCCGCATCTGTAAAGTCGTAATCGGAATGCGGTTGGTCTTAATGGCGTACGCAACGCCCGTCAGGCGATGTACGGCACGGTACACCTTGCTGAAGTTCCCGTGCCCCATCTCCGCCTCTTGGTGGTAGTCCCAGCTACGATCAGCAAATGGTTGAGGGACGGTCTTACACCTCTCTTTGCAATTTCAGCGTTCATGGCATGGCGGCAACCCTTCATCCCCAAGGCGACAGCTAGGCGGCGTTGGAGTAAGTTTCCACTTACTGGTAGCGGCTGTATCCTCCGCGGTTCAGGCACGATTGCGACGCCTGAAACACATGGTTGTCATCCTCCGCCCGCACCAGGTACGGGTTGCGCGGCATCGGCGGCTGAACCTCCCGGAGTTTGGGTATTGGTGGCCGACCTGCGAGGCAAGAGCCAATTATGCATGAGGCGGACCCGGCATACGCCCGCATGGTCGTGGGCCCATGCGCTATCATGCCATGCATATCATGGTCTGGAAGCCCACAGGACTCACCAGACAGCGCTTTGCTGCACGTGCTGGGCTCCCCCATTGATCGCTGGCTCAGGCTTTGGCTGGAGCACTCCTCATCTACACTCCCTGCGGTCACAGGGTCGAGCAGTATGCCGTGTAGCAATGGTAGCAAGGCGTACGCATGGCTAACAAGCAAGTAAGCATGTAATAGATGGCTTAAAAGTGCATGTAGCAACACCGATGGCACTGATGACCGTGTGTTTGTTTCACCACGACTGCATGCCACTGTGGTTCTCGGTCAGGGAACAGGGAGGTACGTCTGATAGGCCCAACACAGAATGGGAGGGAACAGGAAAGAAGCATGTCGTGGAGCTTACCTGGGGGGAGTATTCTCAGCGGCCTGGGGCGCTTTTGGACACGGGGTGAGACTACGGGTGACCTGCTCGTGTCGTCATCTAGCTGCATGGATGACGGTTCGTAATCCATCCGAAACTGCTGCTCTTGCGGAGTAAGGTAATCAGGTGTGCTGCAACAATAATGCGGTTGGAAAGCCGCGGAATTAGTACATGGTAGGGCTGCAAGCCTACCCATGGCTGTAAACGGTAACCCTACTCACGATTGTATTTCTTGGCTGGGCTGGCTGCTAAGATCAAGAGCACGGGGTCGCAACGCCCGCATATGCGGTCGAGGCTCTTGCGAAAGCTGCGGCGCGTCCTGGAGATTCATATGTCTCATTGAAAACTGCAGAGAGTTTGTGCTCTCAGAGCACTGCTGTGCCATCTTCTGCTTGCTGTAGTAGTTAAAGAGGCTGGCGCCAGCTGGCTTCATTGAAGCTGTCGCCATTGCAACTTCGCCACGATACACTAAAATAAAAGTTCACGTCTCCTCAAGTACAAGGTCGATAATTATAAAGTAGTCTTTATCGCTAATTGAAGATGGGTGACACAATGGCAAGCTGTCAGATAGGCTGTCTATGTGTTCATAGGAGTAAGGATGCCGCTTGTGGAGAAGGTTAACGAGGGATAATAAGGTAAAATCAGGAACTAGGTAAATAAACTATTTACTTTTGCATGAGAGGTGTCTTGGGTACATGTGTTGGGTGCAACTTCTGGGTCCTGAGCATAGCGTGGTGTCTGCGTGCGATGGCGCGGATTTACGACAAAGTCAAACCGAACGCCATGTGTCGGTCAACGCTATCTCAGCTACCATGTAGCCCCACCAGTTAACAGTTTATAGTATATCAACTTGCATGACAAGTAAATACGGTTCTTTACTAGCTAACGTTAGCCGAAGTGGTTAAGGAGCACATGATCGCCGGGGCTCTACGCGACACTTGCCACGGGCTCGACTATAATCGATTTAACCGGATTGGACATGCCGCTTCAGGGCCTTCACCATTGGAAACCCTAATCAATAGGATTGCACGTCTGGCTCCGTTACCGGAAACACGAACATCGCCTGGGCCCTTCTATTGCCTTTTACACTGCATTGCCTGCAAACAATGCTGTAAAGGCAAACTTTATGCCCCTCATCTGGCCATAGAAGACGAACCTACCACAACCTGCTCGAATGGAACCACACCATGCAACCGGTGACCCCTTGAACACGAGTATAAGGCATAGTTTAGTGACCTAACGTCTGAACTCGCGACTGGTTGTGTAGATTAACGCCTGGTATATTCTTTATTCATGCCCGACTAAGTCTGACAGCCCGACGCCGCTCGTGGAAGCTGCTTCCCAGGAGTGCTGAAGAGCCCAGTTTGCGTCAAACCGGATTTGGGTTGCTGCAATAAACTATTCCCCGCCTGTTGACGCCTTCGATAAAGTTTCGGTTGGCTTAGGAAGATGCCTCCGGGCGTTCCGGGTGACCCTGAGTCCTGCCGCGACGGGCGTGACCTGGAGAATGGGCGTGATCTTGAAGCCCAACCGCTTGTGCAGCACTTCTTCTACGACCCAAACAGCCGATGGCATCGCTTTAAAAGGGCCATCATCGAGCCTCCAAAGTCCACGGTCAGCATCTATGCAGACATTCCGTATAACCATGCCGAGTGGAAGCGGCATCGCAATGCAGCTTGGCGCCATCGGCCCCAGCTAGTCCTGTTGTAAGTCCTGCCCGCTTACAACCTTCCCACTGCCCTACATCCATCCCACCTTTGCCCGGTAGTTACAGCTACCCCGTACCTAAAGCTCGCAACCCTGTATACAGCATGCGTGTGGCTGGAGGCTTCTGGTGGCAGCTCACCTACATCTTCATCGTGTCGCTGTTCGTTGGGCTGTACCACCACCACACCGGGGTAAGTCAGGGCCTCCGACAGGCGAGCTCAAAGTTTGGTGGAGCAGCTCTATAGCCCAGTACACATTTAGCTCTCCAACGAAAGCCTGGACATGGGTCCTCACGCTTGGTCTCTTGGGGCCGCAGCATTGGTTGGGTCTCCACATGCGACATCCTCTGGCTATGCCTCGTAACGAGGGAGGTCTACGGGCAAGCACGTCGCCTCAGCTAATCCGCCTCTTCCCCTTTATGCTGTCTGCGTAGTCCTTGTCATCCGCGGCTTCCAAGGTGACGGTGCCCTTCAACCTCACCACGTTCGCGCTGTCGCTGCTGCTGGTGTTCCGAACCAACTCCAGCTACAGTCGCTGGTGGGAGGCCCGCCAGATCTGGGGCGCCGTCGTCAACCTCTCCCGCAACTTCAGCCGACAGGTAGGGACAGGCAAAAGGCACAACACACACACACACACACACCACGTCTCCAGTGACTTTCTGGTGGGAACACATCCACGATCCAGTTCGTTCGTACTCGCAGCCAGTTTACTTCAACACCCACACTCTTGCAGGCAAGGGCGCAAGGGCTGTGTTTGACGTTAGGGTTGATCATTTGGGTTGACTTTGACAGCTGGTTGCTTCACCTTGCTGTCCCATATCCTAATCCCTAATCCCAACCCCATTCCCCCTTGCTCCCTTCAGAGCATGTTGTGGCTACCCGCCAGCAAGGCCCGCGTTGCCGTACGCTGGATGATCGCAGCGCCGTACCTGCTCAAGTGCCACCTGAGGTTCAACGCATCGGTGCGAGAGAACGTGTCACACGTACTGCTGCCCCAGGTGAGCAGCTACATGTTCCCCGCATGTCCCTTGGGGCTCGGAAGCAGGACAGCCTACTTGCGCATTGCTGCTGTGCAGCCGATGCTCCCTACCTTCTTAGGCATAGCCGCCTCATGTGTGGCACCTCAGTTGCCACAGATGCTCCTGGCATTCAGCACCCCACGTGCAACGCTCCACCGACTCCCCGTTACCCCTCCCCTCCGGCCATGCATCCCTTGGCTGTGTGCTGCTAGGAGCTAGACTGGGTGCTGGGCTGGACGCACCGGCCCAACGGAGCGGCCCACGTACTGGCCACAGCGGTGGCGGAGGGCGGCCTGGACACCAACAGAGAGCAGGTGGGAGGTGGGGAAAAGGGTCATGTGGGTCGGGCTCTGCGGTCGCTCCTGCACAAGGTCCCTCGGCTTAGAGCAGATCCTTGCGCACACACACACCTGTACGTTTCGCCTCGCGGCCAGTTATCTGAACACACACCCCTGCCTACCCCTTGCGGTGGTTTACCTGGCTGCTGCTGGATCGTTTAGGCTTCCTCCTTTCCTCCCCCCTAACCTCGCTGCTTCGCCCCTATATCAAAGTCACTCCTCTTGCTCCTCCTGCTCCTGCTCCTCCTGCGACTGCTGCTGTTCCTTCCAGATCCTGATGGAGCTGGTGAACACCTTCATCGACTGTGTGGGCAAGTGCGAGCGCATCTTTAAGACGCCCATTCCCGCAGCTTACACCAGGTGGGCAGAGCCAGGGCCCGGCTGGCAGCATGCGGCGCGGTGGGGAGGATGCGCAGCCATGCCTTTAGGGAGGCAGCTTCGAGGATGGAAAGCGGGGCACAACCCGCGAACCGGTCTAATGCGGCAAATCAGGCACAGAGTGCGGTTTGGGACACACGGTTTGGGTCATACCCAGCACATCGGACAAAGCAGCCTCAGAGCAGCCGCCTGGTGACTCCCCATGCTGCATTCCACAGTACTGCTTGACACAGCTCCCAAGCCAGATCGCGTGATGACACCCGGCTGCTGCCTCATGCCGTTGCCCCCTCCAGGCACACATCTCGGTACCTCATGATCTACCTGACCGCGTGCCCCATAGTGCTCTGGTCCAGCATGGGGTAAGTGAGCGGCTGGGGGCTGGCCTCGGTCGACTATAGTGCCGCAGGGCCATGGGGGTGATACAGAGTTGACTGGGAAGGATGGGCGGTGAAATGTGGCATCTTGTGGTGTTGTGATCTAGCAGACGCTCCAAGTCACTCAGCATTCCCAAGCTTTCTAAGCCTGGCCTCCGGTTGTTTCCAAACCTCCTGCAGGTGGTGGACTCCCCTCACGGCGGTGCTCATCACCTTCCTGCTGATGGGCACGGAGAACATCGGAGTGCAGGTACGCAGCCCCATGCAACGCGTGTAAGAGCTTGCGCGACGGGGAGCCGGGCATTACAGTGCGGTGGGGCAAGCGTGCGAGAATGCGTTAGAGAACATGAGGGATTGTGCTAAGCTTCGTGTGGTTGGTATGAAGGAGGTCACGCCAGCAGTCCAGCCCCTAACGGCTGCGCTACCCATGCATCCTGCCGTATACAGATCGAGGAGCCGTTCCGCGTGCTGCCGTTGGACGACATGTGCAGGTAGGTGCGCGCGGTCGGCAGTTGGGGCTGAGGGGCTGAGCAAGGGGTGCCTGGGGCATGTTTCGGTTACCGCCAACTGGGTTTTCAGTGGCTCAAGCAAAGGCAGAAAGAAAACTGCATTTAGCATGTTACGCCAGCATGGCCTTGTCGGCATTACCTCATGCGACATGAACTTACTGTACCAAACGTATGACGCTTGGTACCCATGCTTTACGCCGCCCGCCTCCATCCATCCAGGGGCATCGAGGCCACCCTTCGGGAGATGGAGCGGCAGCACAACCGCTTCGGCGAGCAGTTCCGCAGCTGGGCGACCGACCCGGCGGGTCTGTCGCGCGCCTCCTCCGAATCCTCCCTGGACTCATTCCAGGACGGCCCTGCAGATGGTCCCTCCGAGCCCGCGGCGCTGAAGCGCTACCACAACGTTCCCCCACCCGCACCGCTAGCTGCCGCTGCACACGCGCTGCGGGTCTCCTTTGCAAGGCCCTCCGTACCGTCCTCGTCCGCCGCTCCCTACTCGCCCAGCGGACAAGGAGCAGGAGGAGCTGCGGCTGCTCATGTGGATGGCGGTAGCTTTGGCGCTGCGCGCGGCGGCAGCGTCGGTTCAGGCGATCTGTCGCATCACTTGGCCACAACGCCATCTCACGTCGTGGCAGGCGGCGGAGGGTTGCTGGGTGGGCTGTTGCACCACCTTCGCCACCCGACGATGGGCAGCACCGGTGGCGCTGCTGCCGGTGGCTCCGGAGGCAGCAGCAGTCGGCGATTTGAGGCGGGCGGCGTCGCTAGCAGCAGCGGTGGCGGTGAGGCTGGTACGGAGTGCCTCCGCACCTCTAGCGGCGCCTTGCAGTCCTCTGCCTCCCTTCCTGCTCATCACCACCACAACCATCCGCACTTTCCGCACCACCAGCACCATGCGCACCGCAACCTGCCGCACCACCCCGCGGATGTGCCGGGCCTTATGGCCGCCACGGGCCAGGCTCAGGATGTCCGTAGTGTTGACCATGCCTTGCGGCCGCATGAGCACGAGCAGCTGCTGCAGCAGCAGGTGGACTGCCTGCCATCTGGGTCGCTGCACGCAACGTTGCATGGGGCTGGCGTTGTTGAACCGGAGGAGGCGGTCAAGGAGCAGGTCAAGGAGGGGCAGGGTAGGGAAAGGAGGTCGCCAGGAAGCCAGGGGCGGCCGTCGCTGAACACCCTGTCCCCGTTTGCGCGGGAAAGCCAGCAGCGAGGCGATGTGCAGTACGAGCATGCGGAGTAGCACTGGGGATGGCTGATGAGGCGTGGCATGGAGAAGAGTAGGAGCAAGTGTCGGGATGATGCTTGGCTTCATCTAGGTGCTTTCGGTATGAGTAGGGGCAGCGTGCTGTAGAGGCAGCAGCATTGTAAGTGGCAATCAGGCGCCGGATGCAGTGTGGGCACTGAACGAGGGGTGGCAATGCGGACATCCGCGTGCCATGCAGTCCGTGCGCTGCGCGAGTCGGCGGTACGGGGACGTGGGTATTGGTCTCATATTTATCACATATATATCCCTTCGTGAGCGCACTTAAAATCGCCATGCGTTCCCGTGTTCGATCGGGTCCCACATGTTGAGCCCTCGTCAGGCCAGCTGTCTCAGTTGTCTTTCCAACTCGGAACATGCTGGTGTATGTGACACAGTGCCAAGTGGCAGGTGTCACAAAGAGTGAGACGCTCAGCTGTCGGCTTCATGCCCCGACAAGGCCCCGACGCCATGCAATTCAATGGGCCGGTACACGCCTCCACTGCCATGTCTCTGATGCGCTCTTTCATAGGCCTTGCTGGCCTGAAGCCTGGATTCCAAACGGACCTAACAGACCACACATGTGAACCGCGCCCGACCCGACGCCAACCATTCTCCTGTTATCAACTGGAGTGCAGCAGGCTATGGTTTATAGCAGGAAGAACCCACTCTTCGTTTCTTTAGGGATTATACAACTGCAACAGCCTATACGCACGATGTTTATCCGACATGGCACCTGAAACGGTAGACCGGTGACCTCAATAGTTGCTCGTAGCCAATCGATACGCAGATATCACAACGGCCGTAGCGTCCTCTCCGCGTCCCGGCTTGCCGATGGCGGCTGGCGGCGCGGCTCTCAGGTACCGGGACACACATGGCCGCTTCACGTTGATTGCGGCTGCTGCCTTCCCGCTGCCCCGTCTGCCCAGCCATCGCCTCCGGCACCTGAAACAGGATGCCTGGCTTACCCGGCCCATTCGGACCCTCCATACCCTCCGCCTCCGCGGCAGCCGCGTCCTGCCGCTATCCCACTTCCGAAAGTGCCTGTACGGTATGCAGCGTTGGGATGACCCGTGGGACGCGCTTGGTCAATAATCTCAACGTCTGCTTTCTCCACGCTGGGAAAGCCACTTATTTACCCATGCTTAACAGCATTTACATGGCCCGAAGAAGTTCATCCGCTGCACGAGCTCAAAAGCCAGATAGCTGCATGCAGCCCTCGTAGCCGGACAACAAGTCAGGCACCCACATGTCATCCCATCCTAAATGCTCCTTCCCTCCCCATCCCAACATGAAATGACCCATGGGTCACACGCCGTGTACAGTACTCACCCTCCGCCGCGTGGCTCCTGGACGGACCTCTTGCGCCTCTGCGACCTCTTGCGCGGAGGGCGTGCGGAGCTTCAGCAGCAGCGGCCCCGCCGAGGGACCAGCAGGGCGGGCCCAGCCCAGGAACCACTTGCCATCCGCCGCGTGCCACAGGGAGGAGCCCCTCACTTGACAGCCCTCTCTCGGTGTAACCACTAACTCGGCTGGGTGTACCTCGGGCTGTTCCTGGTCATCTAGCTCCACCTGCTCACTCATAGCATGCAAGCGGGGAGGAGGCAAACGCGTGCCGAGTCGTGAAAGGAAAGCAGCGGAGATTGTGGCACGTGACGCTGACGCTGAGCAGCTGTACGGCGGCATACCGGTACTTGGACAAGCCATTGCCGTACGTACCTGCCGTACAGAGGCAGCCGTACGTCTTGCCCGCTATTAAACCGCTACCGTACCGCCACCGTACTGCATTCCAAGCAGGGCAAAACCAGGGCATCATTACCTTCACTTGCACGTCGCCTTCCCGGAAGGACTCTCCAAACCACCGCCGAACGTCTTGAATTTTGATCGTTAGACGGTTCCTCTTGCCATTCCTCTTGCCACGAAGCGTGAGCATCTTGCCTTGACGCGCCTGGCGGTCACATGGACAAGGTACAACATGACACGGCAAGGAAACCCGTCAAAAGACTGGTGCAGACTGCCGTACCAAAACACCAACCAGCTCTTTCGTACAGTTTTACTAGCGAGGCACATCCTGCCTTGCGGCCGGCGGCATTGCAATTCCTGTCCTTGTTTGACTTACCGGTGTCGCTGCTGCTACAGCCGGCATCACAGTCGCGCCAATAGCTGAGGGAGCGCCCGATCGGTGCGGAACGCTTCCGGCATTGCTGGGCCCTACGGGCCGGCACGCCGAGGGCAAGCCGGCGGGTGGACCGGCCCATGCGCCTGCCGTACGGCCCCCCTGAGGCAGCAGGGCGGCAGCAAGCATGGCAGCTAGCATGGGGTCCGCTGGCGCTCCGGAGGCGGTTCCCGGCAGCGGGGCCCCGGCAGCCGCAGCTGGGGAAACGTCCAGCCCGCCCCACCCTGTGGCCTGGGGGCCGCCCAGAGGTGCTGCAGCAGCTGGAGTGGTGGGGCCCGGGTGCGTGCCGGGATGCTGAAGAGGGCTGAAGTCGAGCAGGCCCTGCATCACGGGGAAGGATGAGGGCGCGCGCAAGCGCTGTTTGGTCGGTAGTGGAAGCCTTGATGCGTGCTGGGCATCCTCTGCCTCCTCGGAAAGAGACAGGGCGGGCAGGGTGCTAGGAGCAAGGCTATCAGACTATCCAGCCGCAACAACGCACGCTGCTCCTGGAATACCTGCCAGGAGCATCGGTACTAATAAGCCCCGTTCGCTTACCGACATCAGGGAACCTAGGTCGCCGTGAAGCATCCCGGAGTTCATAGCGTCACCGCCGCCTCCGGTGTTCATCACACCGCAGCCGCCCAGGTCACCCAGGTCACCCAGGTCATCCAAGAAGCCACCACCCACAGCGCCTGAAGGTGCCCAGTTGAAACCGCTTCCCGCATGGCAATCTGGGCCTCCCAGGCCTCCCAAAGGCATCAGGCTGGGGGCCAGGAACGCTGCCGCAGCTGCGCCGGTTGCATCCCATGGCCTGCTGGCGTCCCCGTACAACCCTAGAGCTGATGACCCTGATAAGTCTGCTGCTGGTGCTGGCGCTGGTGCTGGTGCTGTTGCTGCTTGAGGAGTGTTACCGGCAATCATCCCGCTAGCCCCAACGGCAGCAGCAGCAACAGGGGCAGTAGACGCAGGACCCATAGCATCTCCCGCCCCGGCCCCGGCCCCGGCTTCCGGTCCCGCTACTTCTGCTGCTGGGGGCGAGACGCCACCGCCAGCCGTACCGGTACCCATCATCACCGCGCCACTGCCGGCACTGTACGGCGGCATCTGAGGCGCTACAGCCGCCTCTGCTGTTGCTGCTGCTGGGTCGGATGCCACTGCCGCTATCGCGCCCCCTTGGCTGGCCGCTGCATCGCCCCCATGCGCCTGGCCCCGCCTCAGCTGCCCTACACCGCCGGCACCGATGGCAGCAGTCATCTGCGCCAGTGTTGGCGGCTCCGTAACCCCAGCAGACCGGGGGCCGAGCTGGCGGCTGGCGGCGGCAGCAACGGCGGCAGCAGCGGCAGCAGCGGCGGCGGCAGATTTCGGCATGGAGTGTCGGTGGCAGAGGGTTGCAAGCGCATTCCATTTCGCCGGATCGGCGGCATCCCAATCAGCGCCCACATAAGCGCATCCGGGCAAAGGTATGGTGTGCAGGCCTCCGCCTACAGGCTTGCGACTTGCCTGCTGCTGCTGTTGCTGCTGCTGCTGCTGCAAACCTGCAGAGGGGTTCTGGGATTCGAGCAGTGCCGTGGGGCCCGTGTCAGGCTGCAGCAGCGCGCAGGTGGCACCGGCGGGCTCCATGCTCTGGGCTTGCTGTGGCGGTTGTTCCTGGGCATGAACAGACGGAAACGGTGCGGTCGGGATTTGCTGCTGCTGCCCCTGCTGCTGGTGTTGCGTTTGCTGCTCCTGCTGTTGCGATCGGCTCTCCCCCTGCTGCTGCTGCTGACCTTGCGGTGAAGCCACCTGCGGCATGCTCCAAAGGCCTTGCTCCCGGTTATTTGCTAGCTGCTGTAGCTGTAGCACACGCGCGGCCGTAGCAGCAGCGGCGGCGGCGGCAGCAACAGCAGTGTTGAAGGTAGTCGCAGATCTAGAAGCAGCAGCAGTAGCCGAAGGGAAGGGCAGCCCAGCGCGGACCCATGGGTCGCTTCGGCCATGTGCGCCTCCTCCTCTTCCTCTCCCGCCGCCGCCCTGCTCAATGACTGCGCTGCCGCTAGCGTCCTGCCCCGGGATGGGGACGTGAACCACGCCGTGCGCTGTACCACCTGTTGCATGGCTGCCTGCATCTAGAGGCCTGTTGCAGCGGCGGCGGCTGCAGCTGCCGAGCAGCGGCAGCGGCGGTTGCAGCAGTTGCAGCGGCAGCGGCGGCGGCTGCAGCTGCCGAGGCTGAGGCGGCTGATGCTGAGGCACCTCCAAAGGCGACGGTAGCCCTGCCGGCTGAGACGCAACCACTTGCTGCTGTTGCGGCTGCGGCAGTTCCTGCTCTTGCCTCGTTACCATTAGCGGGGATGCGGCAACCGCCACACGGGGCCCATCAGGCGGCGAGGAGGAAGCGGCCCATGCAGCTGCCGTACTACCGTTTGCCCCAGCGGCTGCAGCTGCCGTACTCCCAAAGTTTGCCGCACAAGCGGCAGCATTAACAACCTCCCTAACATCATCATCATCATCGCTGCTGTCGTCAAAAAGGATAATGGGATGCTCGTTGTCCCCGCTTCCAAGCGCAGCTGCTGCTGCTGCTGCGCTGGTCGCAGCCTCAGCCGCAGCGGCGCGTGTTGCCGCTTCCGGTTGCGGTGGCGGTGGCTGCTGCAGGCGGGTGGTGTGGCCCGCCACCCAGTCTCGAACGGTGTCTTTCTCAAAGGATGCATGCTGCAGATGACCGGGGTGCAGCGGCTGGCCTGCAAGAGGGGCACGCCACGTTCTTCCAGAAGCCCATGAGATGAGGTCTGTGCCGTACAGGAAAAACATTGCCTCTCGTTTGGAATGCGGATGGGAGCAGGTGAGAGCGGCAACCCGAATACAGGGCCCCCCCAAACCCCCTGCACAGCCCGTACTCACCCGTTCTTGGGTTGCAGCCGTACGCAGCCATGTGCTCCTCAATGGCGCTCCGATCGTACGGCAGATCCGGATCCCGCCGGTCCCTCACCGGCTCCCGCATGATCCTGCGGCTGAGCGGGCAGATGAACTGCCGGGGGATTTCCATGGAGGTGACCAGCAGCGATGAAAGCTGCTGTTCCGCCTCTTGGCTTGAGCAGGTTGGGAAGTGCCGGTGGAATATGGAAGGCGAGGAATCGGGCGGAAGAGGTGGTCGCGCTCGCTGCTCCTCGATATCCTCATCGCTGCGCTCCCGCTTTATGGGGCGCGCCTGAGCTTCCTCGAAGCTTGCATTCTTGAAGAGCCACGCCAGCAAGTCAACAGCGAAACGGCTCGGTGCAGGAGGTGCGCCTGGGGAAGAAGACAAGACGTAAACGGCAACAAAGGGTGAAAAATTGCAGCCGCTCGTTAATTGTTAAGAGT